AAGCCCCATGCCATCTTCAATGACTTAGTGCCAATGGCCCTGCCACTGCCATATTTTCCCGATGTGCATGCTCCATACCTCTTATAAAGTCTACCATCATGGCCTGGACTGTTGCTGGCCCCATCCCTGCTCAGAGGCAGCCTCTCCCCCCCCCCCAATAAATCTCTTGAGTGAGGCTTGTAACATGATGTGATTTCTGTGTTCTTTGCCTCCACTCCATGCCTATAACCAAGATATTTTTTCACCACAAAACCCTTTCAAAAACGTTCTTACTTTTCTCATTAGGAAAAAAGTGCTGAGATTAGTTCTGTCTGGCCAGTACTTCCTGAAATAAATGAAGCAATGTGTAAGACTACAGGTAACATGTATGAAGCAAATTGGCAACCAAGTAGCTCCACTCAAAGCTATTAGGGAACATTTAGGGTGTGAGAGCAATCTGCCTGTGCCGTATGCAATCTCATGAATTGCCAGGGTTGATTTGGCTGACCTAGCTGGCTAGGCTGGTGTCCTTCTCCTCCTTCACCATACTTTGTGCATCCATCCCTCTTGAGGTTGCATGCCCAAAAAAACAAAACAAAACAAAAAAAACAACAACAACAACAAAAAAACTTTCCCCAACTAGAAAAAGACCTGTCTTCAGTCAAGACAGGTCTAGTAGCTGTGTTCCTCCTCTGATAGAACTCCAAACAAGCTCTCAAGTGACTACTTAAATGGGGCCAGTAAAAATGAAAGAACTGTCAGTACATGGTAACTCAATCCAAATGCTTGCACCAAGAGATTGGACCAAACTAATCCAGCCTTGCTTTCAGACAAGATAAAGACTGTGTCCTAAGTCATCACAACATCCCTTTCTACAACCTTATACTACAATAGCTGCCTGAGAAAAGCTCAATCAGTGTTGACAGGAAAAATGTGCTATGCTCTAACCAACACCTAAAAGGTCCCTGGCTTCACTTTCTTGAAGTTATTTCACAAATTTCCTTGGGATACATAAAACAAAATCTTTCCACAAAACTGTGGAGGAACTATAAACAGGACAAAAAAAGATTCCATCAAGTCCAACCTGGGAAATAAATGAGGAAAAGGTCAGTTTCCAAGACTTTGGAGGCAGACACAGTCCAAATAAACCAAGCACTTGAAGCTGCTTTTGCACTGAGACCATAATAAACTAAAAGCCAGGAGAAAAAAAAGTTAACATTTCTGTTTTCATCTTATATCTTTCTCCTTTACCTTGGGTCATCTGGTCTACCTAGCCTATCTTATTCAGTCAAGGCTGAAAGCACAAAGAGAAGAGTAACCTATGGCATCTTATAGTCAGATTTTTAGAATGCCTTGTTCCAAACACTCCTAAAGGGTACCTAAAAGAACTCTCCTTAGAGGAAAAGAATTATCAATCATGATGAAATTGCACCCCAGAGAAGTAATCATCTACTAAGAACCAGTTTGTACCTTCAATGAATTTTGGACCATCTTATAGATCTAGTACTAACACAATGAACAACTAAACTATACCCCTTGATGAGGACTTAACATGACTGCCTCTCTTCCCATCCTCCCTGCTCTTTCTCTATTTAAGGTTAATATTGTGTTAGTGCTCAGAATGTGGACTTGGACCCCTTTAGGTGTCCCTGCATGTGGAATAAATCTCTGCTTCCCACCATTCCCCATATCTCTAGAATATTGAGAGAGGTGGCCAACCCTAATTTTGTTTTGTTTTAGATGGCATGAGCCTTAAAAAACAGTTACAGTTAGACAGCTGCTACATATACTGTTGTTCTCATCACATGCCTGGCTGACTCTTTGTCCTTCCTCACTTAGTAACAGTGCCCACAGCTCACACGCCACATCTCTTGTTTTAGAATTAAAACAGTCTAACCACTGGGCAGAAACCAGAATGGTGATATGCTTCTTCTTCCAGTAATTACAAAGTAAAATCTGCTCAGAGCCTTTGATACCTTACTGTATGTCTCTTAATAACACTAGTGGAAATTCAGGAGAGAAAAGAGCCAAGGAATCAATTCCACACTTGACAACCTCAACCACTGGGAGAATAGACAGGGGTGAGAGGTAGACAGGGGCCATGTGTCCCTGCTATGTACCCCAGTGGGCATGTGACACAAATGACACTCTGGAGGTATAGTCTTTGAGTTGAAAGGACTTGGCCAGGGACTGATGCCTTTTTAGGCTCTTGACTTTTTAAGTAAACAACAGTACAACAGCAGCCACTATGAGAGCCTATAGCTCAGATGTGAACCTCCTAGTGGCCTTAAGAGCTACAGAGCCCAATTCACCCACTCACACTGGGTACTGGAGGATTCTGGGTAAGAACAGTCTTTCCTGCATCCATAGCCCCACTGTAGTGTCTTCTGGGAAACATAGGGCACCAACACCTCTCCTGTATCAAAGGATTCTAGGTAATATTGCTCTGCATGATCTGACCAGCTTTCACCCTGGCATCTTCAGGATTCCAAGTGATGATCACCCTGTTTATCAAACCACATCTCATGCTTGCATTTAACCCAGGGCTCACATGCACATTGTTGAAGTTCTCAATTTTTCTTGAACCTTCCTGGCAGTGTACCCACTCCACCGACGCACTGAGACACACTGTCCTCAGGTATCACCCAGTAGCATCCTGGGTTTTGATTTTGAAAATTTTTTTTGGTTGTTTTTATTTAATCCAAGGACTTTGCTTTATACAAAAAGTCATTGTAGAAACAAGAGCAGAATCCAAAGTTTGGTTTGTAAATATTATTCAGGCAGCAAACTAGTCAAGGGACTTGTTTTTTTTTTTCAAAGTAGATCCCATTAGTGTTGCATGATTGGATCTCTCTCTCTCTCTCTCTCTCTCTCTCTCTCTCTCTCAACACTGTTAAATATAAAGTTTTGCAACAAACCTTCAATTTATATCAAATATAATTAAAAATTAACAAATGAATACATTGTATCAAAAGTACGAAGATATACATTTCATGCGCATACTTGTATAATGTATATATGGATATATTTTACATGCACACATAACTTGTTCAAACTACAGCCACTGCTTGACAGGTTCCAGATGCAGACAGCTGGTTGTTGCATTTCAAATTTGGCAACTCACTATGAAATTTCAGGGGGAACAGACAACAGCTTGAGAAGAAACGGTACAGAAACAAACCCAAAGTCAGGAAACAAGACACATGTCTCCTTTCCCTGATTCTTGTGATTTTCATGTATATCAATGCCTGGAAGAAAAGTCAACTATGCTAATGTGGGGTAAAGATGATTCCCAACCCAGGGCTGTCTGGAGCAGCTGTGGTTTCACACAAAATATACACCCAACACTCAAGAGAACAAGGGCTGGGCTTGGAACAGAGACAGAACGTCAGTATCAAAATGCACATCCTTCTACTTTGCAACATAGGTGCAGTCACATGCACAGTCCAAGGTTCCTGTTTAATTTTACCCTACTGGAATAAAATACTCTGTTATCGTTTAAGTTTCAGGGTATTGTGCCTTCATATAAGGAAATTCTATAAAAGGTTTGGTCACAATCATGCTGAAACCCTAGACCAAGTGGTGGTCTTGTGTTTTGTTTCTAGTAATGTGTCTTTTGTTGCATAGCCCTATAGTTGACAATAGCCACTCGCTGAACACACCTACACACACACACACACACACACACACACACACACACACACACACACAGCTTCTGTGAGAAACATGGGATAGAAGCCAATAATCCCACCAAGAAGTCATCAGAAATTTCAAAACACAGAGAACACACCCAAGGAGTGCCTGCCTGCCTGTGCACAACCTTCTTCTAGTGGCCTCGCAGTCATCTACGCACCACACACCTTCCTGGGTATGGGTTTTCCCTTTGCAAAGTAGCCGTGAAACGAGGCTTTATTTGACTGCTGCCTCCCTAGATGTGGGGTCAGGGACCCTATTAGGCTTTAAACCCCCAGACTCATTCCAGGACCTGTTTCCTTCCTGTCTATTTCTTGTTATGCTGCCAGCAAGGGCTTCTTCCTTCTGCCCTATCCCCCTCTTCTTTATTAGCATTTAGCCCTCTTCAGTACTCAGTGAAAACTAGTTTGTTTGTTTAACATAACAAAGATCACACCCTACTTGGCAGGCATCCCATCCCTGAGAATCAGATTAAAAAACAGATTGAAAATGCCTCATGCAAGCACACACTCTGCTACTCTGTGGCTTCTTCAGAAACCATCACTCAGGGGAGATGCATGATCACAAGAGCTGCTTCTTTGCCACACTGCTGGACATTGTCAGTGTTCCCTATGACACAAGCCCCAGTGTGGCTCTGAGCAGTTCCCACCCAATCCACTCAATAGTTCCTAAGGCCTCACCTTGTACATGATGCTCAGAGCCAGAGATCAGGCACTTGGTTGAGCAGAGGAGCCAGGGGCACTGGGGACTTCCTGGGCAGGGTAGAATCCATACAGGAACATCACACACAAGTCACAGAAACAGTGCAAAACAGAGACCTTCCTACATGTTGATTTTTTTAAAGTTACATGAACATTTCCTTCCCTGTTTTGTTTTCTGCTTTTCTAGATCAACTATATAGAAATGACAAACAGTGAAAGGTGTTGTAACTGAAAACCAGGATCTATAGCATAAACATTCTCCAGATTTGGTCCCTATTATGATGACAGTATAGGTGAAAGGCAGGGCCTTGAGTGCATCTCTACATACGTGTGCTGTTTGACTCCAAGACCAACAATAGACATGAGGTTACTGACGCTGGCAGGAGCTGCCAAGCCACAGTTGGGCTCCTTTCCTTGCTTTCAGGTACACCCTATCCCCCATGATACATTTGGACAAACAATATTCTCCATGAGACTCAGACCTCCTAAGAAAGTCCCAAGTACCCACCCTGGATGCTGGAGGCCATGACATAGGATTTGGATTTGCTGGGTCCATCTCAACTCAGCTACCTCCTGCTTAGGATCCAACATCTGGCATGGAACCCAGGAAGGCAGTACACAGGAGGGTAGAGAGAACCATATCCCTCTAAGAAGGGCTTTATTAGTCCATCCAGTGTAAAAGGGAGGGAGGGAGGGAAGCAGGAGCCTCCATCACAGAGGCCACGATGAGAGGACCCTCCTCCCAGGGCTGTGGCCCCACAGCCCAGAGTGGATGATAAAACTCATCAACTGGAACCCGCACCCATGGAGCTGGTGCATGGGTAGTCGTGGTGCAGCTAGCACCAGTGGTCCTGGTCTGGGTGGTGGTAGCTGTGCCGCGCCCGGACGCCGGTGCTGAGTCCCAAAGTGCAGTGGTAGCCATTGGGCACACGCCGGAGAGGGTGGGATTGGGAGGTGAGGGAGGACACGTAGGAAGTCCTGGAAGAGCGACCAGAGTTGGTAGCCACTGCCTCTTCAAAGGTAAGTGTATCCTCAGGCAGGGTGTGGGCAGAGGCCTCACTGTCCAGACGCTGCCCTAGGTAAGGGTCAGAGCCAGTGCGAGAGCCAGGTGCTAGAGGTTGGCTCAGGGGCTCTTTCTGGAGCAGGGCATTGTGTTCAGAAAGGCCGCGGCTGAGACGGCCAGGGGAGAAGGCTGGGAGGCCACTCTGACCCCCAGCAAAGTGGACAGGTGAGGAATTGGCGGTCTTGTAGGTGATGCTGGGGCGTGGGGTCAGGGGAGTCTGGGGGAGCTGCCTCCGTCCACCACGGCCTGGGGTGCTAGCACCAGATGTTGACATCAAAGGGCTCCCATTAACAGAACCACTGCCCTACATGAAAAAGGCAACAGCAAATAAAAATAAAAATCACATTAAACAACCCAGCACACAGAAAATACAGGCATCATCATGAAGGGATGCAGGGCGGATGTAAGCCGAACAGAGGGGAAACAGGAAGGAGAGATACATTGATCAAGTGCTAGAAGCCCAGAGTTAGAGAGGAAAATAAAGAGAAGCGGTTAGAAGGAAGTGCTAAGGAGGATTTGGGACAACCAACCTAAGGACACTGTGGCTAGAAAGGCAGGCTTGAGCTTGGGAGCAAAGCAGGGAGGGTAGTCAAAGGTCTGGGAAAAGCCAAGTCAGAACATGTGAGCCATACTGTCTGGCATGGTTACCTGTGGGTGGGGTCCTGGTTCTAGTGCCGCCGCCGTTGGAGATGTGGGGTGGCTACTGAGGGAGGGCTTGAGTTGTGGGGGCTCCCGACTCCCAAAGCGGTCACACGAATAGAAGCGCTGCTTGTCTGAAGAGGACGACGAAGGCTGCCTCCGCTCCTGGGACCTTCCTCGCTCCTGCTTGCGCTCCCGTCGGCAGCCTGTGGATCCTTCTTGTGGCAAGCCAGATCCTGCAGCACTGCTTGGTGCTGGCCAAGGAAAGAGGTTAGCTTAGCTGAGTCCAGAGCAGGGCAGAGACCTCTGGCTCTAAGCCTATATAGTTACATAGTTACCAGGAGCTAAGTGACAGGCTCAGTGCCTGAGGTAGACAATGGCCCTGCCTGGTCCCCAGAACTGGAACTCATACCCCCTTCTGCTGTGGGTAGATTCTGGGATCATATAGAACACCAAAGATGATGGTCCTGCAGGCTGCTAGACCCTATCCCAAATCAGGCTATAGCCACTTATGAGGCTTGGCTTCCCGGACCCTGTACACGCACCACCTTCTGTGTCAACAGACAGGCTGGGCCCCTTTTCCAGGGACCTCTGCTTCTTTTCCCTGCGCCGGTGGCAGCGGTGATGGTGGTGATGTGATGCCTGGCTAGGGGGAGGCCGGTCCAGGACTGTGTTGCAAAGGTGAGTCCCGTGGGGGCGTGGAGCCAGGGTGGAGATGGAGCGCTTCATGGGGCTGGCATCAGGGGCAGGCTGCAAACAAAGGACAAGGGATGAGGAGGCACATGGTCTGAGTCAGTAGGGACAATGAAAGACCAGGAGGAGACAGATTTCCTGGTAGGCAGACTAGGGAGAGGGTCCGTGGCTAAGTAATAAAGATGGTGAACTTCCAAAATGGCCAGTTTTTTCCTGGGGCCTTTTCTCTCCTGCCAGCAGGCCCCTGCTGATGGACTGGCAGAGCAGGATGGATTGGATGTGTTACACACAGTTGTAGGTCAGAGGGAAACTTTTCAGAGACTGAAGCTTCAGCTCTCAAAAGCAGTGTGGATTTATCAGTCTCCCGAATTGCCCTTCTGCTTTGCAGAGGGTCTTTTCCCCCGCATATCATATGTACATGCCTGCTGCACAGAGACACCTCCTCACCCCATAAATGCTTTCCTTCAACTGCTGATTCAGCCTGCAGTTGTCTGTGGTGTTGGAGATTTCTCCACTGCTACCTGGTGTGCCCAAGACCTTTTCCTAGCTTTTAATTCTTTAACTGGCAGTGGAAACGAACCTGATCAAGACCCAGTCAGGTCAGAAGGAGCCACATCTGAGCATCGCTCCAGACAGGCAGCCTGGAAGCAGTGTTGCTTCATGTGAATTCCAATGGCGGGGTCTGAGGAGAGGGGCTGCTGGTTTGAGGAACCCCAGAGTGATTCCTACCTGGCTACAGGGGCTGACTTCTTCTGGTCCATCTGGAAGACTGACTCATATGACCCCCCCAACACATAAACTGCTATGGAGCCTAGCCACAGCCACCTGAATTAAATGCCAGAAGGAAGCCCCTCAGCCTGTGAAACCATGAAGTGGAGCCACAGGACAGAAAACAGCGGAAGGGATGGGATAGGATGTACTGTAGGCTATCACCATGTAGAGACACTGTAAAGGGAAAATATAGCCAGTGGGGAGAAGACAAGAGTGAAAATAAAGGACACATGAAATACCCATGACCACAGCAAGAAGAGGGGACAGAGCTGGGAGGAGAGCCACACAGGCCAGGGCAGGTTCTAAAGACAGATCAACCCGCAGTTCCTTCTTGGCTTCAAAAGTGGGAATGCCACAGATGCTTCTCTGTGACCTTGAGAAAGGGGTTTGCCGATTCTGAGGTCAGGCATCCAGCTCCTAGTTCAATGTGCCTAATGAGAAAAACCTCACAAGAGGCCAGAGAAGGAATAGAGGTTCGGGGACAGGGCAGGAAGGGCCATCCCAGAGCCTCAAACAACAGAAGGGTAGACTGAGGCATGGGGGTATCACTTCATAGACTGTAGTATCTGTTCTAGTGCTAGAATAGATACTAGAGAAGATAGACAACAGAGCTGGAGACAGCAGAGCTGAGGAGTGTGGGAGATCGAGGAAGAACACCTAGGAGATAGCAAAGTCTTGGGGACAAGAACTAGGAGACATTAGAATTAGGAGGACCAGAGCTGGGATGAAGACACGAAAACAGTAGATGCAGAACTCAGAGATTCATGCCTTTCTCTAGCGATGAGACTGCCCTGGGGAGGCAGGCGCCATGTCCCACTAGAGAAGGAGGTGTCCTAAGTTGTACAGGCAGGTGACTCCAGGCTGCCACCTACTTCTCAATTCCCAGTCTCCTCTCATGGTGTACATCACCAAGAGCCTTCCTTCATTGACATCCCACCCTCCCACAGCTCAGACCCTTCCAAGACAACACACCTGTGTTTCTGCCGCCAGGCGTGGCATAGAGGCAGCTCGGCCTTGGCTCTCCAGCCCAGGCTGGGGATCCCCATCAGGTCCTCTCAATGTCATGTTCTGCATCTGGACATCCACAGCCTGGAAGAGAGCAGCCTCCTCAGTTACACGTCACAGAGCTATCTGGCCCCACTCATTCCCATCTCACTTGCTCTAATCCCTGACCCCTGTCTGCCACCTCCCATACCAGTTGGCCCAATCCCCACCTCACAACTCTCATTCCCATTCACACACCCCCACTTTACATTCTCCTCATCTGACTTACACTCCCTGCCCTGATCTCTCACAACCCCTCCAGGGAGGGCTCACCAGTTTTCCTGGTTGCCCCACAGGGATCTCTGCAGAATGGCCACGCTCTAGTGGTGCTCTGGCCTCATAAAGTGCATCCTGGGTCCTCTGTGTGCCCCAGGACAGTGACTCCTTGATGCCGCTTTCCTGGGTTTGTCTGGAAAGAGAAATGTTCTGAGGGGTTAGAGACCCATGGCTGCAGAGCACTGCTATTGCTAGGAATCTCCACCAGCCATAGCCTTGGCAACCCAACACAGAGGCTCCAACATAGCCTGCAAACCTAGATACATCACAGAGCATGGACTCTAGATGCTTCCTGAGGGCAGAGGACTGAGACATTCTGAGGAAAGTCAGGTCCATCATTCCTGGCCTGGGGAAAAGCAACAAGTTCTCTAACCCTGGCACTGGTTCCTTTGTGATATGGGCATCAGACATCTGCCACAGACCACAGTGGGAAGGGACATGGCCACACAGTGACTATGTGGGAAAGCTTGGGTAAATAGCCAGCAGCTAAAGGAATTCCAGAATCCTTCGTGGGCTTCCCTCAGAAGTTCATCGCTGGTGGCTCTCCCTCACATCCACCTCTCCATCACAAAGGACACACTGAGCATTCCATCAGCCTCTTAGTTATCAATTATATGTGTCCTCTGCACCTGCCCCTCACCCTGCCTGTTCTTTGGGGTGCCTGGGGTGTTCATATTCAGGGCTAGACTCCCACACAGCACCGATTCTTCCTATGCAATGACAGGTTGAGCACAGTCAGTTTAGCACACTCGGCGGAGGGCCAGATCTGTCCTTGTCGGGAATTTTTTTTTTTTTTTTTAAACAAGAATCAAACATTGTCCTCTGGGAGTATCGCAGGCCATCTCACCTCAATGACTCTAAAAGTAACCCCAGAAAAAGAGGGGGGCCAGGCTAAACCCTGGAGCACTGCCAGTCCTGAGGTCACAGCACAGCTCAGACCCTCGGTTGCTGGGACAGTGGACAGGGTGTTCTCTGACTACAGTGGTTTGAATGAAAATGGTCCCTACAGATTCAAAGGGAGTGGCATTATTGGAGGTGTGATTTGGAGGGTGGAATTTGAGGTTTCAGAAACCCAAGCCAGGCCTAGTGTCACTCTCTCTCTCTTCCAGCTGCCTGCTGATCCAGATGTAGAACTCTCAGCTACTCCTCCAGCACCATGTCTGCCTGCATGCTGCCATGCTCCTTGCCATGACAATAATGGACTAAACCTCTGAACCTGTAAGAAGATGGCTCCAATGAAATGTATTCCTTTATAAGAGTTGCTGTGGTCATGGTATCTCTTCACAGCAATAGAAACCCTAACCAAAATACTGATCTTGAATGAAAGTTCTAATTGCTTTATGCAGAGATTATAATCATCAAAGCACTGGAAGTTTATTTTCCTCCTGGAAGCCTGGATCAAATCAAATTAAATCAAATCAAAGACACCTCACATTTTATAGGATACAGTCACATGTATACCCCCTCTCATATACACATCTGTAAGTCCTGTATATCCAAGTACACATTCCTTCTCACACACTCTTAAACACACGCTCCGAGTATATTTTAAATACGGAAGAGGGATCCTAGGGAAAAGCATATAAGTAAGGGTGTTTGCAGGGCTCTGTGTTGCAGGTCCCAGGATGGACTTCCTCAACTTAGGGCCGATTCCAATAGCACTTGCAGGCATGGTTCCCCTCTGCAATGTCTACTTCCCACAACATAAACTTGGGCCTCACTATGTGATCCTGGTAGGGGTATTGCTGGTGAGACAGAAACAGAGGTCCATGCATCTTCGTCTCTTGCCATTTTCAGGGCCAACATGAGGTGGTGGATCCCACAGAGTCAACACATAAGGAAAGATCAATATACCTGGAAGCCAGCTATCTAGGAAAGCTGAGAGAACATGGCTTTCAGTGTGTAAAAAGTCCCGCCCAGAGCTTGTCCACAGCCTTTGGTGTGAGAAAGGTGATCCTTGATTTATAACTCTGAATTTGATATCAAGAAACACTGTCCAAGAGTAAACTCAAACAACAGAACCTGACCAATTTGCCTATGAAATGCAACAGCCTCAGAAATCAAAGCCCAAATGACAAACTGGGAAAATGGTTCAGAGGAGCCAGAAATATCAGAATTATATGTATTTGAGAGCTCAAGGTAGAAACAATTTCTTAACAGTCCACAGGCATTAGAAGCCAGTGACTGCAGAACCTAAGAGACCGGTATTTGTAGTGGCTGTCACCACAGGAGTAGCCCAGCCATCTACCCAAGCTCCATGTTGTCTACCTAAAGCTATTCATCTAACCTCAAAATCTACCACAGAAACAGGCAGATGGAAAACCACTAGCACCCGCAATCTTTACCATGGGAAGAGGCTCATCCCTGGTAGTGGGATGGGTCCTGGGACCTCCTATCCTCAGAGGACTGTTCAGGTTGTGAATGAGCCCCTTGGGTGTTTCAGGAGGTGAGTTAGAGGCCAAAGGGCATTGAAAACCAGCTAGGGCATGATCACAGATACCTTTCTGAACACTGCTAGTGGTGAGGTCTCCCCACCAATCATGAGTCCCACCCACCCCCACCAGCACTCACATGGCACCACCATTGCTTAGGGAAGTGGCACTCTTCTGTCGAAGGAAAACCCGAGCTCCTCGAAGCACAGCGGGTTGGGTCTGCTCCAGGGTGGCCTTCAGAGGGTGGAACAGGGACACAGGACCCATCTACAAAAGAGAACATGGAAGAGGAGAGTCCTGTGCCTGGGGACCTCACACAGGAACAGGATGTAACAGAGTCCAGTCTGTTCAGGACAGCATGGGGGTCCTTATTCTTCAGCATAGAACTTTTTGCTTCCCAAGAGGAATATGCAAACAGAACAAGGCAGGCTGGAAGACACTTCTAGAACTGCCTCAGTTTCCCCATAAGTGACTTCAGGAAAACAAGTCACTTAACCCACAGCTTCAGTTTCCCTACCTGCACAACTGGGGGCTGGTCATATTACAGAATTGTTTGTCTCACCCTATGTTTACAGTGACTGCCACCTGGGGTTCCAGGCTGAGGAGACTGCAGGAATGACACTAGGCATTTCCTACCTACGGTCAGGTAAACATCACTAAACATTATGTGTGTCTACAAGATTTTCCAAACCTCCAGAACCTCCATGTGGTAGCTACTGAGGACATGGCTGTAACAGCACCAAGAAGATGTACCCTAAACTTCCCACACAACCATGAGCAGAGCCAACAGCAACCCTGGGCTATGGACATGGATCTCTTTGGTCTACACCTGAGTGTTTACACAACAGTTTCTCTTTCCATCCTCTAAAAGTCTTCCTCTGACACTTCACCTCCTCCTCTGTCTACTACAGAGAATGTGATACTGCCAAGAGCTTCTGTCCTCACCCTTGAATGTTCAGCAGTAGGTCTCCCACAACTGTACCTGGGACAGGCCTCCGGGAGCTTGGTGAATCTGATCTCGGGTGGTTTTGTTCTGTTTGTAGAAGTCAAATATCATCAGAGCTGCATAAACTTTCCCCACTGTCATCTCATCGGCTGGACAGAGCAGGCAGAGAAGAACCAGAGGCAGAGGTTTGGAGGGAGGACACACAGCACAAAGAAACCACAGGAAACGTTGCTGGGTAAGGAGACAGTGTCTTTCCCTCTTCCCCAATGTGGACTCCAGGAAAGACAGTGAGCTGAGCTGCTCAGATAGGGGCTCAGCCACAGGAGTGAGTACCATGTCTCCTCTAGATACACAGTACATCCCACTCTGAGCAATGCTATCTAGTCCTGTATCCCTTATGTGGTGGGACTGATGCATCCCTACAAGAGGCCCTCAACACTGAGCACCTCCTCTTCCTTGTGCATTTTTTTTCTTTAGTGTTGTGAGGTATATTCTCAGAATAGGAGGACTCCAGATCACCTCTCATGGCTCCTGTGCTAGACAGCATGGCTACAAAGGGAGCCCACTTCTCCAAGACAATATACTCTGTCTATACTCCCACATATCTTGAGATGGGGGAAGAGGTACCTTTCACTCTCCACTTACGTTTGTGGGGTGGTACAAGTAAGTCCAGAGTCTTCTGGGGCAGATTAGCCCACACAGATGATATCTCCTTTCTCAGCTCAGCATCACACTGGTGCTGCTTTGTCCCTGCTGGACCAGGACAAGGGGGAAAGGGAAGTCATCAGGAGCAGCTCTGCAGGCCCCTTATTCAGACAGAGCTGGGAACAGTGTGGAGGCATAGGTAGAAGGATGATAGGGTGGAGATGGGCTAAAAGGAAGATACACAAAGACACATTGACCTGCAGGATAGATTTTCATGCAAGGTAATCCTGGAGATGTGTGTGTGTGTGTGTGTGTGTGTGTGTGTGTGTGTGTGTGTGTATGTGTTAGAATCCAGAATCTTGCACATGCTCTATAATAGCATCTTCAATACCTTTTGAAGAGTTAAAGTTTTAATGTTTATGAAGTTTAATTTATCATTTTTTTCTTGTATGGTTCATGCAGTTATTTTATTTATTCATGTATTATGTTGTGTGTATGATTGTAGGGGTGGCCCATGGAGGCCAGAAAGGAGCATTAGATCCTATTTCAAGCCTCCTAATGTAGTGCTAGGATCCAAACTCTGATACTCTGACAGAGGAGGAAGCACACATAACCATCCTTGACTCGTGCATCCTTCTAAAAGAAATCTCCACTTAACGCAGTTGCCAATATATCTTTTTCTTCTAAAAGTTTTTCTTATTTGATCCATTTCAAGTTAAGTTTTATAGGAGGCCAAAATACGTGTTATGTGTTGAAAGGCATACCATTATTCCTGCACAGAAGTCATAAGAACCAGTGATTGTGGAGAAGCTTAAAAGATGGTTATTGTTAAATGTTAAAAGTGCCCTTATGAGAAGATGGCAGGCCCCTTGCCCACTCTTTCACTTTGTGTCCTCAGAAGAAAGGCCTTGAAAGAACACAGCAAGAAGACACCAGAATAAAACTCACCCTACATAGCCTCCAGAACGCTGAGAAATGTATTTCCTGGGCAAGCTACCTAATCTGTGGTATTTTGCACCAGTACTTTGTGATGTTCAAACCTTGACAGAATTTAGACTCCTGTGGTAGACAAACTCTGGGCATGTGTAAGAAGGTGTCTTCAGAGGTTTGACTAGGAGGGATGACATGTTCTAATGTAGGCAGCACCAGTCTTTGGTTTGCACAGAAATGAGAAGTGAGATGAACAGTAGCATTTGTCTCTGCTTCTAGACTAGGGATATAATTTGACCAGCTGCCTCTGGCCCCTCCCACTGCACCTCTGCACCATGGTGGCCTATATCCCCTAGAATGGCTAGCTAAAAATAAACCCTTGCTTTTTGAAGCTTCTATTTGTCAGGTGTTTTGTCACAACATTTAGAAAAGTAATACACATTCTGAACTGATTGTGAATCAAAATCTTTCCTTCTGCAAATGGCTGTCTCTATTTTAAAAACACTGTTATTAGGGACAGCATCTTTTCCATATTGATTGCCTTTGCAACTTTGCTGAAAATCAGTTGACTATATGTGTGTGGATTTCTCTCAGCCACACCTGGACCAACATAACTTCATGGGACGCTACTTGTGAAGGGTGTGTTTCCTAACCTTGCTCTTCTTTCCAAAACTATCATTCAAGTTCTTTTGCATTTCTACATAAATTTTAGAGTTGATCTAACTGTTAAGATTCTGTCTGGATGACAATGATTCTGATGATTAGGATGAGGAGAAGGCTGAGGCATCGTAGCCACAACATATTCTAAACCATGAATATGACAGACTACTCTGATATTTAGTTCTTCTTAGATTCCTCATGAATGCTTAGGAATTCACAGAATAAAGCATGCAGAATACAAAAGCACTTCACAGCTGTGGTGTTATTTTCAAGGAACTCTATTGTTAATTACCAGTATACAGAAACACAGATGCTTTTAATTGCTAGCCTTGTGTACCTGTCAGATTCAGTAACTTCAAAAAGCAGACTGGAAATTTTGCACAGGTAATGATACCAACTCTTGTTCTTTCTTTATTATATTGTTATTATCTTAAATAATTTTTAATTTAATATTTTGATCATATGTTCCCCTTCCCCCAGCCATTTCTTGTTCTTGCTTCCTTCTCTTATCTTATTAGAATGGCTAGGGCCTCAAGTACATTCTTGAAAATTAGCACTAACAGCAGACCATCATGTTAATCCTGACTTTAAGAGAGTTCTTATGTTAAATGTTATAACAGCTGTAATTTTTCATAGATATCCTTTGTCATACATTGCTTGGATATTTCATTTAATTCAAACTCTACATGAAAATGTTCTTAGCATGAATGAAAGTTAGGTTTTGCCAGATGTTCCTTTTCCTATGTGACTGTGGGGATATCATATAGTTTCTATTATTGTTTGATATGGTAAGTTCTACTGATTGGGCTTTAGAACATAGACCAGCCTTGTACTACTGGGATAAACTTAGACAATGGCATCGTTCATCATCTTCTTTTATGTGCTGATAGAGTTGATTTGCTAAAATTGCACTGAAGATTTTTACGTCGAGTCAGTTCACTAAAATTATATTGAAGAACTTTACGTCCACATTCATGTTGTTTTATTTCCTGTCATATCTGTTTCTTGTATCAGAATAAAACTACATTTAAAATAGGTGGAGAAATATCCCCTCAAATTCTGTGTCCTGTGAGTCTAGACAGTCTGTATTCACTGGAATGTTTGATAGACTTCATCATTGGTGGTTTGCTATCATTTTTTTCTAAGAAATATAGTATTGCTAAGGTTAGCTCATATTCTATGCATATGTGCACATGTGTGGGGTGCATGAGGCTATGAGGGTGCACATGCACCTGTGCTTGTGTGAGGCAGCTTTTTGTGCATGTGTAGGTGCCAAAGAACAACCCTGGGTGTCACCTTCAAGAAAGCCATCTACCCTCTTATTTTCTTTCTTTCTTCTTTTGAGGCAGGGTTTCTCTGTGTAGCCCTGGCTGATTTGGAACTGGCTCTGTAGACCAGGCTGGCCTCAAACTCACAGAGATCTGCCTGCCTCTGCATCCCAAGTGCTGAGATTAAAGGTATGCGCTAACACAGCCCCGCTACCATCTACCCTCTTTAAAACAGTCTCACTGTGAGCCTGAAGCTCACAAATTAAGTTGGGCCAGAAACTCCAAGAAATCCTGTTCCCACACCCCTAGTGCTAGAATTACAAGCACACACCACCATGCCAAGCATTTTTATGTGGATCCTGGACTTATCAAATGAGTCATTCATTCCCTTAGCCCTAAGTTTATCTATTCTTGAATGAACTTGGTAGTTTATATTCATCAAAGAACTCACACACTTCCCCTAAGATGTTGCACTCACTGACATGATGCTCACCATTGCCATCCTTTACTGTTACAGTAGCTGTGACAATGCACCTCTTCTGCTCTTTACTTTTGTTGCCTGCATCTTCTTTCTTCTTCATTGGTCTAGCTGGAGATTTACCTCTATTCTTGCTCTGATTTTAACCGGACCACCCTGGCCATTAAGATGAAGGCAGACTGAGAGCAAGGGCAGCTGCAGGGTAGCTGGAGACTACAGTAGCTATGCCACAAAAGCAGAGAGTGGGCCTAGGCAGAGAGGTGACTACATGCTGGGTGCATTTTAAAGTCAGCATGGAGACAGAAATCAGACATGAGTTGGGAATGATAGAATAAGGGCAACTCCAAGGTTTTGGTCAGGGAACAAAGATCAGAGTTCTCAATGGTGGCGCCATAGAAGGACATGGATCACCTAGAACTGAGGTGTAGACAAGTCAGCAGGAAGATTCCTGCAGAGTCTCTGAGGGAATATGGAGTAACGTATGCTATTTTTGTCTAGACTGATTAGAATTCAATATATGCACAAGGAATGGGCAAGGTGGCAACAGCAAGAAGGGTACTCTGAGGCAAACCCACAACTGAGAAGAGGGGAGGGCCAGAGAAGCCAAAAAGTGACACAGGAAGTAAAATCTGAGGAAGCCTACAGAGAGGGCAAAGTCTGAGAACTACCTAACTGAAAACTGCCAGAGACTAATTCCACAAGTAGCTGGTTCCTTTGAAGGAAGAAAAAGAAGAACATGGGCGCGAGAGAGGTGGCTCAGAGGTTAAGAGCACTGGCTATTCTTCCAGAGGACCTGAGTTCAGTTCTCAGCAAGCACATGGTTGCTCACAACCATCTGTAATGAGATCTGGTGCCCTTTTCTGGTGTGTAGATGGTACATGCAGGCAAAATATTGTATAGGAAAATAAATAAATAAATAAATCTAATTTTAAAAAGAGGCTCACCAATGGAGGAGGAAGAGATAAACCTTTTTAAAGAAAGGAATGATACATCGTGTGTTCACAAACTGACACAAATAACCCCAAACAGAGAAAAACCAATAAAGCCAAGAAGCAGAGGATGAAACTATGGGTAACATCCTTAGGGAGATGTTGGGAAAAGATGGGACCTGGTATAGAAAGGGGGCTGGCCTCCACTCCTCACAACAGAAGTAGCTAAGCTGTATGGCACAGATGATGGAGAGCAAGGGGGTACAGAGTCCTTATAGTAGAAGGGAAGGGAAAGGAAGGAGAAGATGGAACATGCTCCCTGTTACATGATTGGGGCAGGCTATCACTGCAGGATGGGATGACCTAGAACAAGGGATTGCCTTTCACTGTGCTGGTTTCCTCCCTGTGAGGTCATTTTACTGCTAATGCAACCATCAGAGTAACAATCAGTGCCTATAGAGCAGGTAAATCTATCCAGAGCCCATCCTTTTATCCTCCTTATTTGAGAGAGAGTGGGTTGTTTGTTTTGAAACAGGAAGTCATAACTAGTTACCCAAGGCTGTAAGGATTGGCTGGCCAGTGCCCTCCCTTTCCCAAGGCCACTTGACTCACCTGGGGCAAGCTTGATCTCCAGTGCTGTCCGGATGAGGGCCATCAGTGTGGAGGTAAAGTGCACCGTCATGTCCTCATTGGATATGGGCATGTTCATGCGAACCAGGCGCTGGGGATGAGTAGGGGCAGATCAGGGCCAAGCATGTCAGGGTCACTCCCACCCTACAATTAGTGTCTGGGCTCTGGAGCTTGGCTTGGCTTCCTGAGAGTGGTCCTGGCAGGTGCCTGGTCCAAGAAGGCTGGGTTGGTGGAAGTTTTGCCAGCATTCTCTCCTCCCGGACCCCACTCTCATCTGAGCTGAGATTCTCCTGGCTAGAGAAGAGCAGAAATCCAAGTAAAAGCTATAGCAGAGATTGGGCCAGGAATCTGAATCCTGGCCTCTGCCTGTGAATGTCAAGAGGGTGAGGTAGTCTTGGCTGAGAAAGATGGATCCAAGACAGTGCTACTCCCTGAGACATCCTAAAGAATAGATGGGACCCTATCCTATGACTTTGCTTACCTGTCCTCCTCTGTCTGCAACTGGATCATCTAGGCGTGGCAGCCAAAAGGCCTCTCTGAGGTCCAGTCCTGGTGGGACACTCCTCAAGAGAGAGACTTGTTTAACTCAAGTCTTAACCACAATAACAGGAGCTGGGAAGACACACTTGATGGCACTTGAAGTCAGACACTATCATAGGTCAATGCATCAACAAGAGTCTCGGGAGACCTGCTAGAGGCCAGAGCAGAGGGCTGCACAGGGTCTAGGCTTGTTCTGCTCCAATCTCTCTGTGTGGCCAGCTCCCTTCCTTTCTCTGTTTTCAGGGACCAAACACCTCAAAACAAGGACATGTCTGAATCAGTCCTCTGAGGTGACTCAGCAGCTATAAGAGCCTCTGACTCTGAGAACATCTTAGGTCTCAAGGAGGACTCAGGTGCATCTGAGGCATATTCACTTGGCCAAGAGAGCATTACTGTAACCCCCCCCATGTCTTCTATACAGGAGGAAAACTTGAGACAGGAGTTGCTCCCTGGGGCAAGCACCCTTCTTTGGGGGGAGGGTCACACAGTTCAGCCCCTAGTATCTTGCCCCCATGTTCCATATCTTCATTGTGATGGAGGGGGCACAGGGGTACAGAAAACAGGAGGTAGGCTCTTGTCCTATGAATGCTGGCAAAGCCCCACTGGGCACATCCAATTATAGGACCAGGACTTCACATGTCACATGTTACACACCAGGAAAAACCTGCTTCCCAGAGCATGGCAGTCCCTGCAGACCAGCACCGATGGCAGTGTGAGAGGCCAAGGAATTCCTCTTCCAGGGAGGGGAGTTAGGATGGGAATGAGAGAAGAGCAAGCAGACTAGTTCTAAGAGGGGGAGATCTGTCCAGGACACCAAGGGTTGCCCTCATAAGGGCTCCCACTGGTTTGCCCCTCATTATGGAGGGCAAAGAAAAGAACCTCAGAGAAGCAGAGTGGCAAGACCAGGGCAAATAAGCTCCAGAAATTGTACTCCAAGCATCTCTTGGGCCCTCCCCATCTTGCCCCAAGCCATCTGCAGCCTACCCTGAAGCCTCCCTTGGCCTGGTCATACCCTGAACCTCAGGATCCTTAGGCATGGCTAGAAAGGGCAACACAACCCTTCCTGCCTGCCTCTGCCTGACTGGGTGTCATGGGAACAGAGCTCTCCCTCCTGTGGATAGAGACATGCATGCATGCAGGGCCTCTGCGGTTTCAACACACATGCTAGTTGGGGGCAGATAAAGGCAGGAAGAACCCAGAGGCATCTGTGAGTGGTGGGAGAGCTGTTTGGTTCCCACAGACTACACTGAATGACGTGGCAGACAAAAACCTAGAACAGGGTACAGAGACGGAATATGGACAGAGGACAGTGAATCAAAGAGGGAGGAGGCTCTGGCAGAAAGCGCTCAGACAGAGGCAAACACAGTTGGCACTGTTTAATGGGCAGCAGTAGGGGCTGGGGATGCTGAAGGGCACTGCAGGTGGAAGAAGCTTGTGACTGGGCCAGGAAGGAGGCCTGAAGGTGTCCTTGTTCATGACCTTCCTCATGACACACTTATTTGTGACTCCTGAATTCCCGAAGCTAGGACCCTCACCCAAGGGTGTCTGAACACCCATTCCTTTTCAACATCAAGGCACCCTTCCCACTGGGGGACCTTAGTAAAGCCCTTGGGGACTACAACTGTCATAAATACCTACAAGGCTGAGCTTGGTAGGGGTAGAAGGGCAGGGGAAGAGGTAGGCGGCCTAGGCTACACTGGCCTAGTATATTCCCCAAGGCCAGACTCTGTAGACTTGATGACCACCCATGATAGGAGCACAGGGGACAGGGCAGCCTGGCAGCCCCAAATCCAGAATAAAGCACCCTCTGTCCAAAACAACATTGTTTTGTTTGTCTTCTCATTCTTGGGAAGGCAAGGAAAGGGAAGGAAAAAGATCAGGGGTTGGATGGAGTTGACTCTGGCTCCATTGTCCTGAGCTTCTCAAGAATGTCAGTAGTGGGGAGGCTGGATGGGGTTTAGGGGTTAGTGCAGAGGCATGTCCCTCCGTCTATCTGGGATGGGATAAAGGGTTTCAGGGTGGTTATAGGGTGCAGCGGGAAGGCAGCCAAGTACAGCCACACAGCCAGACAAATCCTGAGAAAGCAGGTGAGAGCCCATGAGTGCTCTGGGGGCTGAGCAAGGCCCAGGTGGGCCCAGCCAAGCACAGATGGCTCCTGGGTTGGGTTGCAGGGTCAGTGCAGGGGCAAGGTCTACCTTGTATGCAACTCGAGCCGGGCATTTCTTCCCCAACCCCAGAGGTGGGGACATGTGTTTCAGCATCTCAAACATGTCATTGTAACTGATGCGCCCACTGGAAACCCGTTCCAGAGGCCAGGCATAGTGGGGTTGTCCACAGGAGAGCACACGGCAGGAGGGGTAGAGCAGGGAGCGGGCAGGGGAGGAAGCAGACAAGAAAACAGATTCAGTTAACCAAGGTGTCGGGTGAATGCCCCAAATCAAAACAAGTAAAATGAGGGAATCTCTGCTTGACTTGACCCTTGCTTGCCCCCACCCCCAGCCTCACCTCCTCATAGCAGCCCAATGCAGGGCAGCGGGCAGGGGTGACGTCTGAGCTAATGAACATGGAGGGGTGAGGAAGGGCTGCATCGGGGCGGCTTTGGGTTATAAATCTCTGACTTCACTCTTTTAGAACTGTAGACCAGGCCGAATCAGAAAGAGTTGTTTCACCATGCAGGAAGCACTGGCCAAGATGTGTAGAGATGGGGTTGCTGCTGCTGCAAACCACAACAGCAATGCCTGCCTCAGCAGCCAGGTTACATTTGCTTCCAAATAAGGCCAGAGGCAAAAGTGGAGAAAGATCTACCATGGACTAGAAAACTAGAGAAGGAGCCCCAAAGCTCTTAGGGAACTAAACTTAATGACAGGGCAAGTCAGCTCCAAGCCCAGAGACGCCCGAGGCCAGCCCAGGGCAGGGCTGCTGCTGAGGTCAAGGGCTGGATGGGAAGGAGACTGCAGGAAGGGAGGCGCTGAGGAAGCTGTGGCCCGGTGCCACTGGTGCCTCTGACAGTACAGGTTGGGACCGACAGGTCGGGTGTGGCCCCTTGTGGGACCTAGAACCCAAGGCTGGGGACTCAGGGGAGCATCTTGGGGCTGGTGAAGCATCTTCCCAAGTCGAGAGGCTGGGGCTTCCCTCTACCCCAGAGCACCTGCCTGTGGGCTTGGGGTCTCAGAGACACAGCAGAGTCCAGCCTTTCTCCAGAGGGCAGATCTGCCCAGACCCTGCCCTCCGCTCACACTTCCAGGCCAGGGGTTTTCTCCCTGAGCTGAGCACATCAGTCCAGAAGCGACGCAGGAGGGCTCCTCCTTCTTGTCCCCACTCTCCCCTCCCCTGGGGACTCAAAAGCCTGTTCTGGCCCACAGGGACAACTGCTCCTTGTTTATTTGCACCCACATTCATACTTCTCCTCTGGGCTCTCAGCCTCTGGCCTGTCTGACCATCAGCCCATTCATAGGAGCCTGCAGGAGTGCTGGGTGTGATGGATGTTTCCTTGACAAAGGCAGGGCCTGTCTCACCCACACACACCCCTCAGCCCCACTCCCCACACCCAGACAGCGGGTCCTGGCAGACTCAGCCTAGCCAGGTTAGAATACTCCTTGGGCACTGTCTTGAAGGCTGCCTGCCTCCAGCCAGCTGGAGGGGTTGGGGGAGATAAGACAGGGAACCAAAGTATCCAGGATGCTGGAATGCAGGGCAGGGCAGGACAGAGGAAAGAGAAGGTGAGGTGTTGTCATTCCCAAATCAGGCAGGGAGTGTGTGCAGTGTTTGCGATTCGGGCAGGGAAGTATGTCAGATGGAGGCTCTGAAGTTGCAAACCTTGTAGGCCAACCTACGAGGGCAGTTCTTTCCTAAGCCAACGGGTGGCGCAATACAACGCAACAAACTGTACATATCCTTATAATGAATCCGGCAACTGGAAAGGAAATGTCACAGGTTATGGCAACAAGGCATGATGGAGTCCATCCCACCGACCCACCCAGTCTGCAATGGAAGATGAGCTGTGAGGTGGAGGTGAGGGTTACAACTAGACAGTCCTTCCTGGTGGGACCTGGAGTCTAGTGCTCCCCAGAAAGTGTCAACCCCAAGATAACCCCTGCATCGAAGGAAGCCATGAAACACTCAGAACAATGTTCTGTCTATACCCACAGCCCTCCCTCTGCCATGAGCCCCACCTTACATACTGTGTTATGCCTATCATTGGCCAGTCTCGACAGGACCTGCCCATGTGCTTGCTGTCTGTCTGTTCCCTCAGTTCCTGAATGCCAGAGCCCTGCTTAACATGTCCCCTTCTGACCTTTGTTCTCACTATGATGATGCACCCCACCTATTTCTCGAATGCAGAAATCCTATGCATAAGTTCACATCTAAATGCCTCGTCCCCTTCTCGTTGGACACACTGATGTTCCCCTGGGATTTGGTCAGCACTGTCTCTGCTTTCTCCTATGTTGCTACCCTCTCAGTCCAATCAGTGCCAAGCCATGCGCAATTTACTTCTGGAAAAGAGAAGTTTTACTTGGGCCTCCCACATCTTGCTGAACCCTGGGGACAGTTACAATGGGGGCCTATCCATTAAGCCCATAATATGACAGCACTGGAAAGATTTGGGCATGATGCTGTTAACCCTGCTATTTCTGGAATATTTTCCCAAAACATTCAAAAGCTTTCTACAAAAAAAAAAAAGTTACCCATGTAACATTATTTCACTCTCTTCCAGTTTTTAGCACTCACTCAAGCCTCGTACCATCTGTCTGTACACCTCAGAGTGACCTAGAACTCAGTTCATCTTGCCTCATTTCATACAGCTCAGATGGCACATGTGCTTTCCCTCCTCAAAAACATCCTGGCCTCAAGCTATGGCCACACGACTAACCCATCATATAGCTTTGCTCATGGTTTCACCTTGGGGACCCCAGATCAGGACACAGCAGATGCTTAGGAAATGCTCACTGAACAGACAGATGGGTGGATATGTGACTGTCATTCTCATTTTGAGTCTCAACACTTCAACGCTTAGTGTTGAAGCAATAGACTGAGGCTGGGGAAAGGCAGCCACAGCGACCAAGAGCTCCATGCCTTTCTAGTATCTCACAGCATGTATAAGTTCACACAGTGCACAAATGACACATAAACACCCTAATATGTACATACATGCATGTGATGACTCACATATGCACACAACACATGTACACTTGCCATACATACATAGACATGTTCACATAAACAGTCTGTCACACACGTACACATAAACTCACATGGATGCACAAAACATGCTTGTATACATGCATGTACCTATGTGTACATATTTTGTGTACATGTATAGGACACACAGGCTCATTCACATATACACACATGCATATGCTCACACACATCTATGCTTGTACATACACATACACAAATGCTAAAAAATTGACCGTTTGTATGTGGTTTCAAAGTTTTTCCCAAATAATGAGAAAATCATATGGTCACGTGGGCAATGAAGACAACCACCTGCCAAGTTTGCATTGGCCTTGTCCACTTGTAGGATCCAGCTCTAACCTGTTTGGACGCATTATCAAAACATCCAACTCCTAGAGTAGTCTGGAGGGGAACCAGAATCAACTTCAGTTGTACTTTGGATTGCTCGATCATCTTGTCTTCTGGCCATGTGCCACCTCTGCCTCAAGGCTTGTGTTTAGCTACCTCTTCAACTTGCCTGTAATTTCCAGGGCCCCTAGTTCTCCACTGTGCATGATCACAAAGCTGTACTCAGGCCAAGTCTACCTGCTAAGCACTACTGTACGTGTCCCTCCCTTTCTTGGTTACAAGTGATGGTAGGAACTGGCTGTTGTAGTTCATAAGGACTAAGGGGATGCTGTTCCTTCACAGATGACCTTCAGTGCAAAGTGCAGCGTCATACAGAGCATCTGTTTTCTGTAGCACATATTCCTCGTGGGGAAATATTCCAGAAATAGCAGTAACTCTTCAGGTCACAGCCAGGATCACTGGGAAGTGCTAATTCTGTAGTTGGAGCTTGTCCTGCCCTTTGTATGACAAAGTCCAGTCTCTGCACTGTATCTCACCTCAGCAATACGCCAGACCACAGAACCAATGCAATATCCCTGGGCCTATGCATATCAGGAAGGGTGTTGGGAATTGTAGATAAGGCATATAGACATATCAGATATGAGAAGCCTCCATAAAGTCAAAAACTGGACAGGTACAATATGAGTAAGAACAACACATGGTTCTGCTGCTTCTGGACTGTAAAAAAGCTGAAGATTCTCATATAAATGGAAAATATACATGGAGATGATGTCAGTACAAATAACCCCAACAGAAGAGACCTGTGTCCCAGGCTCCCCATACAATGCTGTAAAACCTCTAGGATTACAACTTTGTGCAGCACCTCAGAACGCACACTGTGTGAGGCAGACAAGGGCAGGTGGGGGAGGGGACTGAATACACCCGCAGTCTTCTTGTCCATCCCTAGGGGCATAGAAGAGGATGAAGGACAGGGAAATGGGAATTCAGCCCAGCAGAAGAAAGTCCAACTCTCCCCCAAGTCCTCTGGGTTTATTGAGCACTTTTGAGGAAGCAGAACCCAAGGAGCTCCTTGGAAAGCAGGACTCTAGCCATTAGTCTCATCATATTACCACCAGAAACCTAAACAGGTCCAGCCTGACCATGTCCTCCAGGCTCCCACCAGGAACCTGACCTCACTCGGCCAACTATGCCATAGAAAAATGCAGACCTGTGAGAGGCAGACAAGGGCAGGTGGGGAACTGCATGTAACTGCAGTCATCTTACCATCCCTAGAGCATAGGAAGTGACCACTCACTTATTCAAGGGAAACTCTTCATTTGCAGTGCAGTTCTTGAACAATTGTGGTAAATGAGACAAGAAGAGGCATATGTATCTCCACCAGCAGCCAGTTCTCTTAGCTCCTCCCCCTCCTATATCCTACCCTACCGGGAAGAGCCCTTAGCAGTTGCTACTTGAGTGACTGAACAAGTGAACTGAGTAAGAGCTAAATAAAGGAGAAATGACAGAGCAACCAAGTGTGTGAGTATGATGGTCAGGGCTGAGTGTCAGCAGAACAGGACTAAGAATCTCCCAACACAGAGCCTCTGAGCATTCTCTCAGTGACAAGAATGTCGAGGTTGGACTGAGATGGATCCAAGGGCTGGGATCCTAGACTGAACAGAAAGAAAAATGGGGGCTGAACAGCAGTACTCATCTATGAGTGTGACCAGCTGTCTCATGGTCCTGCCACCACGCTTCCTTCCATGCTAGGATATAGTATTTCTTAAAACTATTAGCCAAAATTACCTTGGCATTGATGGTGCATACCTTTAATCCTAGCATTCTGGAGTGCAGAGACAGGCAGATCTCTGTTAGTTCAAGGCCAGCCTGGTCTACAGAGCGAGTTCCAGGACAGCAGAGCTACACAGAGAAGCCCTGTCTTGAAAAAACTAACAAATAAAAAGCTGTAAGCCAAAACAGACTTTTCCCCTTATGATGTCTTTTGTGAGATATGATTACAAAATCAAAAAAGTCATTAGTACAATGAACAAGTGAACAAGGAGATAGGTGAGAGAAGATGAAGGAATGTGTGAGTAAAGGAAATGAGTGGTCAAAGTACCAGTCTAGGCAGGTGAAGGAATGAGCACACACACAGATGGAGAGCCCCTGGTGTCCTGCTTGCCTGCCTTCCGGAATATGGCCTCTGGCATGGGAGAGTCACATGACGTGATTGTTCAGGGCTCTCCATGGAACCTGGCTTCAAACGCCTTTGACTTTTGAACCCAACCCACTCCATGAGGCCCTTGCTGTCTAGAAACAAATCATCCATAACTTATGTAGCACAGTAACTATTTTCTGCATTGATTAAAGGAGCTAAAACATAATAAGGCCTTCTCAATTCCTATGGTTTTAATAAAACAGTGCCTATGACAGCAAAAGGCTGGGAGAGGAAAATTCAAGTCTACCTAGGGAAGTTTTTAAAGCCCACATTATGGAAGGAGAGTACAGTTGGTACAGTGCCTGCCTAACTTGCATGCATCTCTGGGTTCAATCACTAATACTTTAAACAGCAGCAGCAACAACAACAACAACAAAAACCCACACAGTGCTCTTGCTCTCAAAGCCCTCTGAGAATTCCACACTGCCTCTTCACCCTCCCGCACTAGGCCTCCATGTTCCATCACAAGACGAGCCTTGGGAAAAGGCAGGACACTTCTGTGCAAAGAGCCCTGGAAATGTTCCTTGACCCCCAGGCACAGGCACTCTCCTGGGGACCATATTGAGGGTCTCAAAGACTGTCTCTGTCCCAGAGCTGCACCAAGGCATGGGGTCAAAAAGGAACGTCTCCTGACAGGGGGACCAGTGCTACCACACAGGGAACTGGGTGAATCTCTAGGCCTCATACCAACACCTGAGGAGACATGCACGTGGAACTGTCTAAGACCACCTGTCTTGAGAGCCACCGGTAATGACAACCCCGAGACATAGAGCACTGGGGCTCACTCACCACGCAGCTGGGTCGTACTCAGCCCAGACTCGAATGAATTCGTCTAGGTGGTGAGGCCCTAGGATGGAAGAGTCCCGCGTGAGGTACTCAAAATTGTCCATGATCACAGCAACAAAGAGGTTCAACATCTGCAGGACAAGAAGGAGAAGAGGTGACATACTCCATTGTGCCTTCTCACCTGCCCTCAAGCTCTGTCCACTGTTGGCATGAAGAGCTCTCTGGACAGTAGAGGTCACTCTTAGTGGGTAAAGACAGACCTGCTGTCCCCACAGGCCTCCTTGCACTGGGACTTCTAGCATCTCCTCAGCCTCAAGGATTCATAATCCCACAAATCCCAATTTTTACTCTGAAAAGACAGAAAGACTAAAAGACAGAAAATTATTTCCCTACAAGCACCCGTGTCCAAATGAACTGGCCAGACTATAAGCAATACTCTCACACTGCCCAGCCCATGCCCATTTATTGAGTATAATCCTTCAACTTTGTTTCAAGATGTTTTGGCTATTTTCTAGCAATTGAACATGGATTTGAGGATCTGCCTTTCCATTTTTGCCCAGAGCATTGCCATTGTGATAATACTAAGCTCCAACTCACAGACATGTGATGTCTTTTCCCATCTAATTAAGTTTTCCTTTATTCATTTTCATTAATGCCTGTGGTTTTCATTTGCTCCTCCAAGTTTCACATTTACAGGGTAACCTAATAGCTCACTAAAACTCAGATCCAGACTGAAGAATGACTCTGTTGGTAATGTGTCCATTGCAGAAACAGGAAGACCTGAATTTGGATTCCCAGCACCCATGTTAATCCAAGCACAGAGGCACACACATGTAACCCCAGCACTAGTGAAATGAAACATCCAGCCTAGCCAAACTGATGAACTGTAGGTTCAGTAGGGGGCCCTGTTTCCAAAGCAGAAGGTTGAGAGCAAACTGAGGAAATAGCTGACATAAACCTCTGGCTTCCACATGCATATACACCCATACATACATGTGCACACACCCACGAAAACACATACATAAACACACAAACGTAAAAAGGGAGGTTGGAGAAATGACTCAGCAGTTATGAGCACCTGCGGCCCTTTCAAAGGACTAGTTAGGTCTGGAGTTAGGTTTAAGGCATCCATGTAGGTGGCTCACAACTGCCTGCGACCCTAGCTCCAAGCAATAGAATGCTCTTTTCTGACCTTTGGGATACCCTCTTCTGGCCTTCGGGGACACACTTATACACACACAGTGAGACATATGTATGCAAAAAATAAGAATAAGGAAATCTTTTATTTTTAAGGAAAAAAACTCAAATTCCTGGATCCTTTCCCTAGACACTTAGTTAAGTCTGAGGCAAGGTTTAACTTCTCCTTGTGTATATTTGTACACTTGCTCCTGTTTTCTTATGTGGACATTGAGCACGTGTGTGTGTGTGTGTGTGTGTGTGTGTGTGTGTGTGTGTATGTGTGTGACACTCACACATACTTGGTCTTGTTCTCACATGTGGGCACTGGGCATGGTGTGTCCATATGTGTACATACAGGCTGGAGGTTGCCATCAGGTGTCTTTTCTTAATCACTTACCCACCTTACTTTTTAAAACAGGGTTTCTCATTGACTCTGCTACACTGGCTGTATAAAGAGTTTTGGGGGTCCTATCAGCTCCATACTGTGCTCCTGTCAACACTGGGGTTACATACAAACACCACCTTTCTCATAAGTGCGGAAGAACTCAGGTCCTCTTGCTTGGGTGGCAGGCACTTTATCAACGGAGCCATTTTCCTAGCCCTGCACTTCTAATAAGCACTCAAGAGATTCACATTGCTTAAGCCACACACACGAGTTGCTAGGCTGTGCTTCGTGAACACAGAAGATACAGTTCAGCTACACAGAAACTTTAACACAAGGATAACTCACTCGCGTCTCCAGACCCAAGATCTGTGTGGTGTCTCTCCTGCCTTCTAACCCATAAGAAGCTTCTAACCACATAAGAGCTTCATGTGTCCATCAGAAGGAGGGCCCACATTTATTGAATTAAAATTCTGGAGTGTGGCTTTCTTTTCTCTTCTTTAATCAGCTCTACCTTCAAGTTGTAGATCAGTCCTTCCCAATTCTCTCAACCTCCTCTGAACCACTGCCTCTCACGACAGCCTCCCCTGCTCACTCTGCCACTCCATCCCTCATTGTCCAAACCCAAGCCAGATAAGCTGTAGTGCCCTAAGGTTCCCAGGATTCCACATGCCTAAGGACAAGCCCACCAACCTTTTACACCAATCCTAATGTCACTTACTCAGCACACCAGGCACACTGCTTCATTGAACTCCATTATCATAGTGGACAAAGGCTTTAAGCATGGGACCAGCATATAATGGTGGACTCAGTCAAAATCAGGAACTAACAAAGGAGTTGGCCTGAGACAGGCAGACATGGACAAAAAACAAACAAACAAACAAACAAACAAAAGGACTTACCAGAAAGGAACAAAGGAAGATGAAGGAGACAAAATAAAAGTAGGCAAAGTCGCTCCCACATTCACTGGCGTTGGCATATGGGTCGCAGGCCCGGTTGCCCAGACAAGACAGCATGATCTCATGCCAGGCCTCCCCAGTGGCACTCCTGAGGAGGACAGAGCTGTAAGCACACAAAGGCAGGTCCAGAGGGAGCGCCCCAGGAAACCCAGAGCTTGGCCAGCAGTGCCCCTGAGACAACTGGGTAGAGGGAAGCTCCTCTTTTGGGTTTCTGCACAAGTGCAGAACCTGGATGACAGGAGATTTCCAAACCAACTACCGGCTCACTCCAGTGTGAACACAACATGTTCCAGCACACTCCTAACTTTCAAAACCCAGTGTTCCTTGTCCTCACCATCCTTTAACTGTGTGGTCAGTCTAGCCACCACTTTATGCATTCTGCCCACAAGCCTGCCATCAGGAAGTACCACTGCTCTCCTTCATTGCCCCTAAGCATGTGTAAGTGGCCTCCCATTGTTTCAGTGTCCCAGCAGGTCGAGTGCAGCTGGTCTCCTTACTTCCCACTCATTGCTGAAGCCCAAACTCATACACCTTTCCTATTCTTTTCCCACTCTTATGTTGCTCCCCATCCCCCCCCACTCAGTCTACTTTCACATCAGCACTGCTTCTCAAAAACATTCCAAGTAGCCACCTGGGAGCTCTTGTGCACTTTTGTTTATAGACAGGTGACCGGCAAAGACAGCAGAAGGTCCATGCACATGTATAGAGCTGATCCTGCGTAGGAGAAGAGACCACTGCCCACTGATGTCACCAGGGGTGGGGCGCTTCTTACAGGCTGGCTGTTCCACCAGAGCCAGTATGACTGGTAGAAACACTTCTCATGACAGAAAACTCAGGAAGGACAGAAATATTATGAGAGCAAAAGCCTCAAAGGAAAGTTGACTTCGTAAGTTTGTTTAAATCTGTGTGGCATGAGGCAGAATATCAATACATGATGAAATAAAATCAATCTATCAGCTGGAGCCCAGAGAAACATCTACAGACAAGCTGGGGACAGGTATACCACAGGACTGGGTGACACATTTACATACAGGACAGATGTAGTGAAATCTCAGGAAGGGGTCCCAAAGCAGGGTCTGTATTCAGCACACCTCACTATCAATCTCTACAAAGAGCCCATTTCCTCTGGAGCCAAGGATGGCCAAATAAAAGACTATAAGGGTGCAGATAACCATATCACACCTCCCTCCTACCCTCAAGCGCACTTTTGGACTAGTCTCCTCAGTATACTTCTGAGGAAGGTGGGTGATGTCTACAGCCCTAGAACTTGTGCAGATGGGCCTCTTGCTCTGGACCCTGTGTGCCACTTTTTTAAGGCACCCAGGAGTCTAAGCCACTGCAGTTCCAGTGAGAGCAATGAGGGAGAGCAGAGAATGGAGGCATGTTCAGATCACCAGCTTTGGGGAGTTGGCTCTCTTTTCTGAGTGGCTGAAAACTCCCTCTGTGTGTCCTGTTTCTCCTTCATCCATTGATACAGGTGACCAACATGGTGATCGGGTTGACAGTGTGACACCAGCAAGTCAAATGAGACTTTGCGAAGTACCCACTGCCCTCCCCAGACTGTATGGCCTCTAGACACCTAGCCACAGAATCCCTCCCCCAGCAGACAAGAGCCCTTTGGAAAGAATAAATAGGAAGCAAAAGAACTGGAAGACCCTCTCCACAGAAATGGCATAATTTTGGTGTTGGAAGGGAAATGGTCCCCATGAATGGAATAAATCCTCATTTATCACAAGTGAAAAGTGGACATGTTGTTTAGCTTAGAAACAGCACACCTGAACAACAGCATTAAGGCTTGTAGAAATGTCCGGAAGTTGTTGTGTCGGTTGATACTGGTGTCATCATCAAGGGCAATGTTTCCAAAAACCTGAAATGGAGAAAAATAACAGAGTACCATTCTGGGAACTATACTAGGCAATAAAAAGTGTGCATGCAACATTGAGGACAACACAAGGGACAGGGGTTTGCCTGGGGCGAGTCTGGTTCCCACCACAAACAACCTTTCAGTGGAACACACTAAGTTCCACAGCTCCACACACACAGCTGGGGATCTGAGGCTGCCCAGGGAAGCAAGTCTGAGTAACCAGGATAAGTGTGTGGGGGGGGGGGGGGGAAGGAGGTTGGGCTCTGCTTTGCCTAGGAAGCCTTTCAGGTCACTCTCTAATCCAAAACTGTAATTAGGTTGGTAACAGCTCAGGTAATGCTCTTTGGAATCTCCTATACAAATAGTACAACAGGCTTTTAGGCAATCTAATAGACTGTTTTCGGGGTAAGAAATGCAGACGAGCCAAGAGCCATGCAAAGCCTAATACCCAAACTAAGTGAAAGTCTATGAACTATCACACTTCCACAAAGATCAGGGAAACATATGTTATTGGATATCCACAGACAAAAGCAACAACCAAAAATATGTGCATGTTTGTTTTAAAAAGTATCAAACCTCAGAAAATCTTTAAATTGGGAAAATTTCAATCTGAAATAAGAATCTTAGAACTCAACGCTTTGGCACTCCCATCTACACCGTTAGCAAGTGGCCACGTTTACAATTAAGATGTTGATTTACATCTTTTAAATATCCTTTGACAAAATAAAGAAAAGCTACATTGTTATTAAATTCAATAATGGGGTGGGGGGAGATTCTGCTTCCACTCTGGGAAGGATCTCCTCAGGGACATCTGACCTGTAAAGGAACCTTTTAGCTGGCTGCCAGACAACAGCCACCAGCCAGATGCCATCAAAAAGTAAGTGCCTGGACCTCACTTTCAAAAACACCAAAGTATGGCTTCCCAGAGAAATGGGTTGCTGAGAGCCCAATCTGTGCTGTCCTGGTTTATTCTGCTACAAAGCGGTGCTTCTGAGGCTTAACTCACTCCATGTTTATACCAGAATTTATTTTATGGCAAATGATCACTTCATTGTATTATTATCATTTAACGGCAATGACCCGTATCCCTTTCAATGACCCGTATCCCTTTCACCCAGCAGCCAGGAGCCAGCCCTGTGTCCAATCCAATCTGGGCAGGTAGCACCCACCTGCATGCCGATGATGGCGTAGATGAAGAACAGCATGGCAATGAGGAGGCACACGTAGGGCAGCGCCTGGAGACACACGAGCACATCAGCTCCAGGGCATCCCTGAGGCTACACAAACCTCAGCCTGGCCCAGCTCCACCCCACTGACCACTAAGCCCTTCCAACAGCAAGTGGTCCTGTCTGCTTGTCTGTGACCGGAGAGCATAAGCCCATCTCAGAGCTGTATGGCTGTTAGCAAATCACCTACTGCTCACTCAGAAACTGCACGAGGATAACAGATGCCAAAAAGGCACACATGTCCTACCCTAGCTCAGCCTTCCAGAGGAAAGTCCACTCTGAGTGGGAGACAGGAAGCATGGTAAAGGAAGAGAAACAGGAAATGCCCAAAGGGAGTTGTCCAGCCTGCACCAGAGCCCTGCTTTACCTTAAAGGACTGGACGAAAGTCCACAACAGGATGCGGATGGTGTATCCCTGCCGAAGCAGCTTGATCAGCCGTGCTGCCCGGAAGAGGCGGAGGAAGCTCAAGTTGATGAAGTTGTTCTGTAAGAAGAATTGTTGTTTCCTAATCTTTGGAATCCCTCTCAAAAAGTGCAGATGAGCTGCTTCCATCCTACAACCTTTCACCAAGTCCCTGTGTACTCCCCCCGAAAGTAATGTGGTTAAAAGAAATAAAAATGAAATCATTGCTTTAGTTAAGCATCAACTGACTGCCAGAAAACCTTCCAAACAAAAAGTCAATTCTCATGCAGCAAGTCAGAGAAAATTTCCTTCACATTAGGGCCATTCCCCAACAGTAAAGGACAAAAAGAAAAGCTCTCCAAAGTCCCTCCCTTCTTCCAGATAGTGCTGGAAGATCACCTATGAGCCTCCAATACTGGCACTCTCCTAGAAAACTGCCAAACTTTCCAGGTACTCTCCAGTGGGCATTCCTCAAGTGACACCCGCCTGAGCTTAGCAGCCAACCTTTCCTTCTGGGCTCAATCAGTAAAGGCCTTGCCTGGATGAGACCCTGGCTGGCTTCTCTGGGACTGGTCCAGGTTCTGGAAGACATTCTTATAAGAGTAGGTATGGTCACTGCTGCTCCTGCCATAGAAGCTATCTGTGCCACCCATCCTCAACAGGCCTCTCTCTGCTCTAGAGAACCCAGGACATCTGGCACTGTTCCCTCAATTAAGGGTTCAAAACCAAGCACACAAAATAATAAACCATTAAACCCCAGACTCTAGAGATTACCTGACCATGGGTGCCTTGAATTATTGGCAGGCTTTTTCGGGGTTCTGGATCTGGGGGAGGGGGTATGCTTGCATTGGTAGGGCACCTGTGCAGCCAGGTGTTTTCTGCCTATTTAGACACCAGGTGCCTATACTATCATCTGAAAGCAACTTCCTGACACTTGACATTTTCCAATTTGCAAGCAGCTCAGGCTCATACACATTTGTGTTGTCAAGATTCAGTGACAAATAAAAAGGAAAGAGGACACATATGTTGAATGAAACAGTAGAGCAGGACAGTGCATGCACATACAGAAGCAGGGTGAGCTGAGAAGATGCTCCAGGGCTGCCCATCTTGGCAGAGGATACATTCAGTGGGGGGAATGGGTTTCATGCTTAATTCCTTCCAATAAACACTTTTGCCTTATCTGTTGCTTCCACTCTTGGGGATGAATTCTTACAGTTCTCAACCATTTGTAACAGCAGTTCTGGAATCTTTATGCAAGGGGCAGGGTATAGCCACCTTGAAGGTAACTCTGGGAAGGGTGTTGGAGCCCTAGAAGCAGGACTAATTTCAAACACTACATAGAAGAGTCTATGGACACAAAGGGGCCCCAAACTATGACCAAGTCAGCAAGGGGGCAAATATCACCTCAGGGCATGACCCTGAAAGCTGACAAAGCTGGCAGATCCCTAGCTTGAAATGAGGAAAGAATCTCATTTACAGACATGGCAGCCAAGAACCGTTGTCTATTAATACCAAGGATGAGGAGATGGGGGCAAATACAAATACCCACCCCTCTCCAGGCTTCTACTTTGTTAACTAGCAGTTCAGCTGATTTTGAGGGACAGGGATTATAACAATACAACGATTGCCCAACTCAAAGCAGCCTATACTAGGGTGCCTGCCAGAGAGACTTCCTGAAGATTTGGGGGAAAATAAATGCTCCCTGTAGTAAAGGCAAAACAGAAGGCAATATGGATGATGGGAAGGCTCTATAAGCAACAGCATATCTAGGTGACCATGGTCATCTCTACTTTGCTGACAATGACTCATACTCCTCCACCCAAGCTTTGCTCTTGGGTGCTCCCTAAGTGCTCAGGACTGAACGGGGCAGCAATAGATAGGCAACCCTAGAGTACCACTAGACTAGATGGTGATAATTGCCAGATGCCCCCAAGCACCGAGGGATGGGCTAGGCACCACCATGCCATTCACATGCAGGATGGCAAAGGACAGGCATACAGCTGTGCATTGTGGAGTTTCACCTCTGGCTTGGTAATCTCACTGGTGGTAAAGAATACCTGTCCTGTGCTCCTAGGACCCATGGTTTCTGCTGCACAGGAAGTAGCTCCACTCCCAGGACTGTCCTTGCTTCTGCTTCACTAAGCCACAGGTAGTGTCCCTGTAAGAATCACTGACCCTGAGGGGACACCAATCCCTAACAATTTAGCCTTAGCCTCCTTGCATATAACAACCTAGAGACACCAGAGCCATCCATACCCAGGGGATGAGGCATAACTGGGGGGTGGGGGCTTGCAAGTACACAAGCATTGTAAGACACTCCCAACAAGGAGATCTGGGCTGAGACCTGGCATCCAGCTACACCATGGCCTCTAGTTAGTCACAAGACAAGGAGAACTTGTTCCTGAATGTCACCTGAACATAAAGCCTAGACCTATGGATACCTGCTGGTCAAGCACCACACCAAAGGACAAAATCCCGCAGTTCTAAACCAGTTACTCCATTCATTCCAAAAGGGGCATGTTTTGGGAGAGGGTGGATGGGGAAAGAGACAGACAGTAGGTGGTCAAATGTGCTATTTAAAGGAAGATAAGAGACAAGGAGGTAAAACTTCCTGGCCTGGCTGGATTCTGCAGTGTCAAGGTACCGCCTCAAAATTCAAGCTTTTACAACTCCAGCTACATGAAGAATTCAGCTTCCACAATGGGGATATCAAATGTCTGTCTTTGTGGATGAATTTCCACAGCCACAGTAGAAGATGAGCTGCTACCAAACTCCCTTACTCTCTTCTTAAAATCCTCAAGGACCTGCAAGAGGCCTAGCAGTACTTGAAGTCCATAGGAACCTGAGCAAGACATGCTCATAGATCTGTGAAATACAAAGGGACATGGATGGGGACCCATGAGTTCTAATACACTGGGGCAGAGTCTCCTCCAATCCAGGCTCTTCACATACTGTTCTGAATCATGGAACCTCAGTCTCCAACCCCTCCCCTAAACCTCATGCCTCAGCCCTGACACTCTAAGTTAGAGCTGTCTACAAAGGATGGATTGCCTGGACTGCAGATCCAGCCCCAGGCCTGCCTGGCCTACACCCTGTTATAGTGATAGATTCTACTTCCTTTGCAGCTATAAGGCCCAAATACTTTCCCTTCTGTAACTTGTCCTGATCATGTTTCTTGACCACAGCAATAGAAACAAAGACTAATGCATGGGGTCTTCACCACAGCCCACATTGGCGGTGAGGATAAGTATTTTCTGTTGGTGAGACAGGAACATAATGGAAGAGAGACAAGTGTGCAACAGAAACCATGGATTTACAGGGATGAGGACAAAATACACCCTACAAAACTTTGAAAGTTTGAACGAGTTTTAGCAAAAGATCTGCCCTAGGTCCCCCAGAAAGCCCCACCCCCTCTCCTCAGAAAGATTCAAGCAGCTTCTTGGAGCTCTTCAGAAACCCTTGCTGCCTTAGAAAACACATGCAGAGGCCAGAGGTGAGTAAGCCAGCAAAGTCTTGCTCATGCCTCAGAAGGCAGTGGGCAGAAGCCTGGAAACAAAAGAAGAGGAGCAAGCAGAGAAAAAAGGCACAATAACTGTTTAAAGTTGTGAAACCAACCATTTCCTATATGTGATGTTTTCATGGATGGGTTTTTTGCATATTATTTACAAATTGGGGTGGTTTGAGCAGCAGGTGCACAACATACAGACGGAGACATGGATTTTCACATTGTATGTTGGTTGGATGACGCGAGTCAGCAGGTAGGTTAAGGTAAATCAAGAACAAAAACAGGAAACAAAAGAGAAAATGAGTCATCAACACAAGCAAGAACTCAAACTCTGAATACTTAACTAGAAAATGTAGGATTTTGTTAAACCACATAATTTTCTACAAGTGTATCCATTCACAGCATGTTTCTGAAATCTATAGGTTATGCAGACAATGAGATCCATTTGCATTTTATTTGTAATGCAAATCCAAAGATGAGTCACAGACACTTATTATTATTTTATTTCCAGGCAAAGAAATCAATGTCAGTTTATGAACACTTAGAGCCCTCTTCTAGGCATCCTTGCCACATCCATTGGTCCTTAAGTTGAGGATGGAAACTGACACTCAAATTTTTGCCTAAGGAAAAGAAGGGCATTTGCAAAGCAAATGTATAAAATGGCTTCAAATGAAAAACACACAAACAGAATACTGATCAATCCACACAACGGCTTTCCTTTCATCTCATCTCCTCCAGGCACAGCAAGAGTAGGGCCAAACATACTTGAGTTTTCACAATCCCAGCCTCCCAGCCTCCCAGCAGCCCTGCTGGGCACTAAGGCTCCTGATGCTTTCAACCAGACTGTACACAATCATGGACCACCCAATAGCACAGGCACAGAAAGGCTGGTTAATTTTTGCTCCTGCACCATCACCTCTGCCTGGAACAAAGCTCTAACACCAGCAACAGCTGGTTTCTGTCCCTAACCTGCACCCATCTTCTTAGGTATTTTCAGCAATCAGCAGTCCAGGTGTCTCTCTAGGAAAGGAGATACACCCATGTGGAATACCCCCAGCACTATCCTTACAATTAGAAGACTGATGTTTGAACCATTTTATCTGGTAAATAAAGAACCCTTTTACCAGGGAGGCAGTACACCAATATCAGAAAAGCAGTAAGCCTCCTTCTCAGAAACCACATTGGGGCTAACACTTTCAAGTGAGATGCACTGTGGTGAGCAGCTACCTTTGAGAGTCTATAAAACCAGGAGCTGGGAAGACAAAACACCTTGGCTTTTCTATTTAAATGGCATGTTCCAGTTTTTCTTCTTAGAATTATTGCATCATTAGCATTGTAAAACATGAAACATGATATATATATATATATATGTGTGTGTGTGTGTGTGTGTGTGTGTGTGTGTGTGTGTATGTCTGCACAAATTAATTTGAAGAAAAATAAAAGTAAATCCCATGTCGTCACCATTCAGCCTAAAAAGCATGAGTGTCACCATCACTTTGGAATTCTTCCTGTTTCTCTTGCTGTTATCTAAAGGTGGTAGCAATCCTTAATACTTACCAATGACTGTTTGTCCTTACAGTTTTACCACAGTATGCACTTGCCTATTCTGCCTTTGCAATGGTAGCTTGTGCAAACTTTCTTTGACTTGTTCAAACATGGCTCTGACAAGGAGTAGACACCCGAGAAGCATCCACAAGGATGTAGATGTCACTTATACATGATACTGCTGTCTTCTCAGCACTGATATACCCCAGAAGTTGATGCATTCCACTGCTGGTGTGTGTCTAGACATCTCTGTGCTGCTATAGCATCCACTTGAAGAGCTACGCTGAAGATGTGTACCTTACCAAATTTAGCATCTGTAAAAATATTTCCATAGACTAGACCAGTTGACAGCTGTGTGAGATTCCTGGATGGCCTATGTCCTGTCAACCCTGAGCATTAGAATGTTTAGTGGTTGACAGACCAGGTGATACAAAATGATAACTCAATGTCATTTCAGTTTGTGCTTCTCTGATTACAGATAAGGTTGACTACCTTCTTCTATGCTAATTGAACATTTATGTTTTCTAATTTGTAAACTGCCCAATCATACCTTCTGCTCATTTCCCATTTTGTTGTTGTTTTTCCCACTCACAGAAGGCCCCTGTTGCTTAGAACTTTTCACTGCCCACTTCTGTAGCCTCTTAGGCTGGCTCTTGCGCATCTCCTTAGTCACTACAGGCTGGAATGTCCCAGGATTCAGTCACTCGTCTCTTATTGACCTCATTCAGGCTTATATAATCTAATACCATTTTATATCCTCACTACCACAAATTTCGTGTATTAGGCCTGGTTTTCTTCACTGAACTCCATGGCTTTTTGTCCAACAACCTACTGGGCAACTCTTTAAAGGGCTACCAGGAAACTCAAACCTAAAATGACCAGCTACATCCCAAACTTCCCCAACAAACCTGTGAATATTCACACCATTAACTACATCAAATATAGCTTTCCCATTTCTATTCACTAAAACTCATTTTTCCAAGTGCTTATACCACAAATTTCACGTCACATCTACCTCATCTTTCATGGCCATATCTGGTTCATCCATTGCTCTATCTTCAAATTATAGTTAGAATTTGATAGTTTCTCACCCACATTCATCTCACAATTCCACAGCCCATCTCAGCAAAAAGGTTCTACGGTAAACATGGGTCACAGACCTCATGGTCTCAGGGCCAGAACCCAATACTGTATTCACTTCTTTCTTGGGTGGTTTCCTAGACACTTCCCAGAAGGTGGTTTACTCCTTGGCCATTCCCCTAGAATCCTTTAGTTAGTAACTAGCAGTAGTTGATAAAGATTCCCTCAACTTCCTTGTCACATGACAGAATGACAGGTATGTTTCACATTCACTCAGAACTCCCTATAGGGTAACTTGTAGTAGTAAACACCTTGGTGGCTGGCCACTCTGCCCTCCAGCACTTCACTACTTCCCTACCAGCATTCCCAAGATCAACTTCCAAATGAAAACCTTGCATCAAATTCTGCCCTTAAGCTTGATTGGGGGAAAGCCCCATGGAGATAGCTCCTCGCTGCTGCAGTTGCTCTGTGTTTCATTCCCAACAAAGAAGTCAGAGGCATGCCTTAATAACCAGCTTACACCATCCCTCTTCACAAGACTGCTTACTCAAAATAGAAGCCCAGGTCACCTTCTGATACAAGGCCATGCACTCTCTGTTCATGATGCTTAGCACCATTCCTTGCTATCCCCTGCACAGCTATGTGAACAAAGCCAAACCCGAAGAACTTCCTTCAAAGTATGGCTGACTTTACCACATTTTCTTTACAAAGTCTTCCTATCCCCAGGTTTTTTCTTTTTCTTCCTTTCTGGTTAGTTTTGCATGTAAGAGGTCATCAAATGACCTGTGACTTCATATAGTGATTAACAGCCTTTTTGAAGGTGTCATGTGAGAGTATCCTTGGCCCTTTTGATGTTTTCAAATGCATTCTCAGCATGGAGCTCCGGTGTGAAAATATCTTGACTGAATGACTATAAATAAAAGGTTATCTACTAGAGCATGGGATATTTTGCAGTGGCTACACCACTAAAGAAAATGGCACCTCTTTCCCAGCAACACCCAATAGGCCCTCAGAGAGGGGTAGGGCCTCATGAGTCCCAATTCCATCCCTGATGAAATGTTTAACAGCACAGTCTTGTGCATATGGCTAACCACATTGCATGGGATTTCATGTTTATAAGTATTCATGCGTGTGTGGGCTTGTAGATGTATAATTATATATGCATGTGTAGGACAAGGTCAACCTTTAGGTTTCACCCTCCTTACTTTGTTTTGAGGTTGTTTGGTTTTGTTTTTTCAGACAGGGTCAGCATCAGACTGACCAGCACAGAGTCCATAGAATATCAACTCAGGGCAAACAATGCAAAACAGTGAAACAGTAGCCAACACACGGGACATGGAATACTAAACATCAAGTTGAACTAGTGGCCCATGGAGGGTACTGGAGCTCTCACCAGCCCTCCAGGGGCCCAGTGTGGACTTTGTGCTTATCTTCTCAACTCCAGAATCAATGAATCTATAGGTCCTGTTCCAAAAGCTCGGGAAGTGTCACAAAAGAATACCCAAAGCTATGACAGAAACGTGATTGAAAGAGGACTTCTTCATGCCAGAAAAACCACCATTGCTATGTAAGCAGTTTCCACATTGGCCAGTGTATCTAACTATCGTGAAGGGTGGAGCTGCTGCTACACTATGGATAAGAGAGAAGTCCACTTGGGACTTGGTGCTTCCAAGGCTTTTCCAAATACCATGCCAGTCTGTGATTGGTCTATCATACTGACCAGAGACAGACAAGTGAATTGTAAACAACAGGGTAAGGATATGGATTGCCTCATAGGTCAGAAACCAGAGCAGTAGAAGCTTGGCTATTTGTCTGGGACTCTAGAAGTGAATGGAGATACACAATGATGATATCAGTTCAACTTGAGCTAACTAACATACCAGAAAGCTCCAGTCTGTCTCCTAGGGAACCAGGCATTACTGTGTAAAAATATGCCACATATTCAACATGAACTCTGAATGAAGTAGGGCCAGATAAGAGCCTGCTTTCCCCTGAGTTCCTGTGACAATGGCACTAGTGGTGCTCTTAGCTCAACAACAAATATAGCCAGAGTCCACTTCCCTCCATACATGCACTTAGGGCTTGCAGACTCATCTCTGGTACAACCCTTTGCCCATGTGGTTCATAGGTAGGAACCTGCAGTTTCCTTCTACTCAGAGACATCTCTGATGGGTGGCCTGCCTGATCTCAAAGGTCCCTGGGAATGACTTAAATCCTCCCTTCGTACCTGGCTCAAGACGTAGCATTTCATATTCTTCTCCTACCATAGTCATTTCCTAGTCCTTACCTACTTTTTCTTCTTAAGAAGTAACTTTTACATGGCTATCCATTTCAGCAGCTGCTCTTAGAGATGAGATTTTCTGTGTTTCAATTTAATGTCTCACACTAAAAAGTATTGCTTTATGATTCCAGCTCTTTGATATTTACCAAGTTTATGCCCCAATACTGGACAGTTTTTGGAGATTATCCATATATATTTAATAAGAGTATCTCTAAATAGAGAAGTAGAGACTTAAAAATATAATTCTTGTTGGGTTACAAATTCTTACTGGGTTTGGTTTATATATTCTTGATACTGAGTTGTTAAATACATCCAACACACACACATTCACGAAGACATACAAAGACACACACACACACACACACACACACACACACACAGACAGAGAGAGAGAGAGAGAGAGAGAGAGAGAGAGAGAGAGAGAGAGAGAGAAAGATTCCTGTCTTCCTGGTCAGCAGTTACCATGGAGCTCCAGGAGATTCTTAGGCTACCAACCTGAAAGACTTCTGAGAACCACTTAAAAAACAAAATTTGTTTTATGTGTATGTATGTTTTGTCTGCATATATGGCTGTGTACCATATGCATGCCTGGTGTGTAAGGGAGTCAGAAGAGGATGTCAGCTCTCCTGGAACTGGACTTACAGATGATTGTGATCCTCCACGTGAGTGCTGGGAATTGAACCCAGGTCCTTTCCTAGAACAAACAGTGCTCTTAACTGCTGAGCCATCTCTCCAACCCCATAACTATATTCTTATCCAAGAAGAGCAACTGCTGACACAATAAATACCCAGTCATCCATCTCCTTCTCCGGGGATAGCAGTAACAGCAACCTATCCCGAAACTCCTGGGGCTCATGAGAAGGCAGTTACAATGGGACCTGGGGACATAACTAGGGGACAACCCTCTAGAAGGAAGCCACTTTGGACCCTGGATGGGGAACAGGAAATGCTACTTACCGCAATCTCTGTTACTAAAATATCAGTAATACTTCCCAACACAGTGACAAAGTCAAAGACGTTCCAGGCATCTCTGAAGTAGTTCTAGAGAAAGAGAGGACAGTCAGAGGACAGTGGTAATGGCTTATCAGGGCAAGGACTGTGGGTCGTGGCCACTGGTCAAGAAAGAGTCAAGGGGGATAGATGCTTAACATAGGGCAATGATAAGCAGATGCCATAGTAAGCATACAAATACTCCCAGCTTGGGTAAATGAGCAACTGAGAGCTAAAAGTCCAGAAAGAAGAATCTCAGATTTGTATGCCTCCCAGCCCAGGGCAGGACAAGACCCAAGCAATTGACAGCAAAGCAGCTCTTCCATGGGACCCCCACAGAATTACACGTGAGGCAAAGGGCACTCAAATGAGGGAAAGCATAGAAGTTGAGGTACATACCAGGACCCCAAAGGCGATGATCTTCAATATGCATTCCATAGAGAACATGGATGTGAAGACAATGTTCAGGCATTTCAGCATCAGCTCGTACTCATACGGTGCATCATAGAACTGCCCAGAGAAATAAGGGCTGATGGCTGAGGAAGCACTAGTTCCAATACCCCAAATGGAACCAATACAACGTCCTGTCTACATAGTGGATAAAAGAAATCTACATCTGCCCATACCTGGGTCCCCCTCCTTGCTCTTTCCAGTTCTTTTAGAACCTTCTCACTGCCTCAGCTACAAGAAAGAACAGGATCCCATAGACACCATGTGATGGCCAGGACATGAGGTCACTTAGTTCCAACATGTGCCAGCAAGAAGGGAATCCTCCACTGGACCTCAAAATAGGAGCCACACCCAAGCTGTACAGCAGTTTCCTCCTCATTCAAACATTCCCTCTAGACAGACTGCCTAGGTGTGGGAAAGCTGAAATTTTCAAGACCCATAATGGTCCTTCACCAGGATTGTAGAAATTGCTAGAGGAGGGGACTCTGCCCAGTCTAGTTGCAGGGAAGAGATTCTCAGACATGTTAAGCTGCCTTCAAGGTGTGCAGAGAGCTCTTCAGTTACAACTTTTGTGAGCCATCATTTATGCTGAGGCGATTTATTTTTGTTTGTTGTTTTGTTTTGTTGGTGATACAGCCACATTTGCTTTGTCCCGTCTTCTGGAAGTAACCCCAACAAAAATTCTTTGGATCATCTAGTTGGACTTAGGTAGAATCGTTATTTGATCTGTTATGGGTTCGCTATCTGGGGTGAGTAGTAGAGTGTGTGTGTGTGTGTGTGTGTGTGTGTGTGTGTGTGTGTTTATGAATGTATGATGTCTACATAGAAAAAGACTCACACACAACAACCCCTAGCAAGTATGGAGGGCCTTACATACCTTCATCATCAGCACCACTGTGTTGAGGGCTATCATGGCCATAATGAAGTACTCAAAGGGTGGAGAGACCACAAATGTCCACGTCTTATACTGGAATGACTGCTTGTTTTGCGGCATGTATCGTGTCAGGGGTTTGGCGCTGATGGCAAAGTCAATGCAAGCCCTCTGCAGGGAGAAAAGGGAATATCATGAACTCAAAGCATTGCCCACTACAACTAGAACTTTCTCACCACGCCCTCAAGGAGCCCAGATAGGAAAAGGCAGTATAGGCAGCTAAGCTTCCTCCAAATAGTCCCAAATGACTAGCCAGTCTCTATTGAAAGAAAGAAAGTGGCCCTGCCTATGCCAGCCGCAAACCAGGCACGTATAGAAGGAAGTCTGGCGATCTGGCCCATTATGTCCCCATCCCAGGATCCTATAACATCTACCTACCTCATTCTTTTCCAGGCTGCACTCAGACATCACCTTGTCCCCCTGTTCCTGGAAGGTGATAATGATCAAGGCCACAAAGATGTTGACAAAGAAAAAAGGGAAGACCACAAAGTAGACCACATAGAAGATGGAAAGCTCCATCCGGAACCCGGGGCTTGGCCCCTGCTCCTCATAGGTGGCGTCCACAGAGTGTTTCAGCACCCTAGGTAAGGGGAGAGCAGACTTCAGGAGAGCTTCCAGGGTGCCTGGTCTGCACATCTGGGTTGGGGCTCAGGTCTACACTTCAAGAGCAGGATTCATCTCTGTACCTCAGGGATGGGGATCCAGGTCTGCATCTCAGTGTCAGACCTCAGGGGCAGGAAGAAGGTCAGGAATAGGACTTAGGCCTACACCTCGGGGACAGGGCTCTCACGTATACTTCAGGGACGAGGTTGTTTGTACTCAGGGACAGGGTACACGTCTGTGTGTCACAGAAAGGGCTAAAGTCTTAACCCAGGAATACGGAGCATATTTATATCTTAAGGATGAAACTCAGTTCTGCCCTAGAGAACAGGGCTCTTATCTATAGGTAAACCAAGCAGACTCAGCCTCAGTCTTCCTGCTTTTTGCCAAACTAGCTACAATGATTAGCGTAGCACTCACATGGGCCACCCCTCTCCTGTGGACACCGTGAACAGCGTCAACAGGGCCCAGAGCACATTGTCATAGTGGAAGTCATATTTCTTCCACTGCCTTGGTTGAGCTTCTACTTCTTCCTTCTCGTAATCCAAATACTGCCCCCTGGAAACAGGAATAAAGCAGAAAGGTACTCAGTTCAAATACACCCATGAATCTACAGTCAAATGGCTTCAGAAAATTAACAAGACCACATGGAAAGAGCAGTCTTCTCAATGATAGTAGTAAGACAAACATGTTTCTAACCACTTTACACGCAGATCCTCTCCCTATATCTCACTGCATATTTTATAAAATTGGGCCATTCCCATATAAAATATTTAACATTGAGATATATAGACTTTGAAACTGGTGGAGTTCACTGATCAAAGTTTTTTTTATAATAAAATTTTATGAAGAATGAAAAAACTGGACAAAAATGTAAATGTATGTATCAAATCTATAAAATTCTTTGAAGAAAACACATGGCAAATCTTTATAACCTTGTATTGGGGAATGGATTCTTAGCTAGAGTATCAAAATCATGAACAATAAAAGCAGAAGGAAAGGTAAATTGGACTTCAGCAAAATTACAAACTTTTGTTGTTTCAAAAAAACAAAAAAAAACAAAAAACGCCATAAAAGAGTAAAAGAGGGAAACCCTGCCTAAAAGAAAAAAAAAAAAAAAAAAAGAATCAAAACAAAACAAAAGCAGGAGAGGATGGGTGACCAGGTTAGTGGGTAAAATTTGTGCTGCCCAGACTGACTATTTGAGTTCAATCCCTAAGATGTGGGTGAGGAAAGGACAGATCTGACTTTCATAAGCTGTCCCCTGACCATCACATGGATACTATGGCATGTGCCCCCACCAAAATAAATGCAATAAGTCATTTTTAAAATAAGAGTTCTCAGCCTCTGCCCACAGAGGGAGCCCGCCTTCTGTTGCCCTGCTCAGAGCCTCCTGAGGACAGGGAACTATATGCAGAAGAGCCTATTCCTGAGGACTGGCCTTCCCAGAGTCTGCCAGCATCCTGGTTCTACCTCCAAGCAAGGTAGGAGATAAGCTTGGACCTGTTTCTGGCCTGCCTTCCCCGGCCCTACTAGGAGCCTCCTGAGGCCTAGGGCCTGTGTGGACCAGCCTGTCCACAGTCTGCCAGCATCTTGGACCTGCCTCCACTCACAGAAAGAGTCAGCCTTCTGGTGCCCTGCTCAGAGCCTCCTGAGGACTGGGGACAGTACACAAAGTCACCCATCCCAGAGAACCACCCCATCCAGAGTCTGGCAGTGCCCTAGTCCCACCTCCACCCACTAGATGAGGAGAGCCATCTGAGTACTGGATCTGCTTGCACCCACCGGAAGAGAACCTTTGTCCGGTACCCACAAGGAGAGGGAGAGATCCCACTGGTACACACTAGAAGGGATGGGTAGATGACAATCAACAACAGAAAGATCAATATGATACCCCCAGGGACTCCATCCACACCAGCAAGACTTGAACATCCCAACACAGATGAAGCAGAAGAAAACAACCCTAAAAACAACTTCATGAAGATGATAGAGACCCTAAAAGAGGAAATGAAAAAATCCTTTAAAGAAATGGAAGACAAAATAAACTAAAAAATGCAAGAAATCAACAAATCTCTTAAGGAAAGCCGGGGGGGCAGAAAAATACTATCAAACAGATGAAGGAAACAATTCAAACAGTTCATGACCTAAAAACTGAAATAGAGATAATAAAGAAAACACAAAATGATGGAATGCTGGAAATAGAAAAGCTGGGTAAATGATCAGGAACTACAGATGCAAGCATAACCAACAGAATACAAGAGATGGAACAGAAAATCGCAGGCATTGAAGATACCCTAGGAGAAATAGGTTCATCGACTAAAGAAAATCTTAAGTCCAACAAATCCCTAACACAAAATATCCGGGAAATATGGGACACTGTGAAAAGGCAAAAACTAAGAATAATAGGTATAGAAAAAGGTGAAGAAACCCAACTCAAAGGTACAGAAAATATATTCAGCAAAATCTCAGAAGAAAACTTTCCCAACCTAAGAACGGCTTGCCAATGAAAGTACAAGAAGCTTACAGAACAACAAATAGAATGGACCACAAAAAAAGTCCCCTCGCCACATAATAATCAAAACACCAAACATGTTTTGTAATGAAGACATGAATATTAAGATGAAGAAAGAATATTAAGAGCAGCAAAGAAAAAAAGGTCAAGTAACATATAAAGGCAAACCTATCAGAATTATACCTGACTTCTCCATGGAAACTCTGAAGGCCAGAAGGTCCTGAATAGATATTCTACCAATACTAACAGACCACAGATGCCAGCCCAGACTGCCATACCCAGCAAAGCTTTCAATCACTATAGATGGAGAAACCAAGATAGTCTAAGACAAAACCAGATTTAAACAATACTTGTCAATTAATTCATCCTTATAGAACTCCAACTCAAGGAAGTCAACTACACCCACAAAAAACATAGGCAATAGATAATTCCACTTTTACCAACAGCAAACAAACAAAAAATGTGGGTAGGTGGGAAATCCACACATAATACCACCACCATCAACAAATCCAAAACAAACAAGAATTAATGATCAATGGTCATTAATTTCACTCAATACTAATGGTCTTAACTATAAAAATACACACAATAGCAGAATGTATACAAAGACAGAATCCATCCTTCTGCTGCATACAAGAAATACATCTCAACTTCAAAAACAGATGTAATCTCAAAGTTAAGGGTTGGGGAAAGATTTTCCAATCAAATGGACCCAAGAAACAAGTGGGTATAGCAATCCTAATAACTAACAAATTAGACTTTAAACTAAAATCAATCAAAAGAGATGAAGAAGGTCATTTCTTATTCATCACAGGAGAAATCCATCAATATGAAGTCTCAATTCTGAACATTTATGTCCCAAATACAAAGGCACCCATATTTATAAAAGAAACATTACTAAAATTCAAATCACACATAAAACCTCACACACTTACATTGGGAGATTTCAGCACCCTACTCTCAACATTAGACAGGTCCACAAGACAGAAACTTAACAAAGAAACAAAGGAACTAACAGAAGTTATGACCCAATTGGGTTTAACAGACATTTATAGAACATTCCATTGAAACACAAAAGAATATACCTTCCTCTCAGCGCCACATGGAACCTTCCCTAAAATCAACCACATACTCAGTGATCTAGCAAACTTCAATAGGTACAAAAAACTGAAATAACTCCATGTATCTTATCAGACTACCATGCTTTAAAATTAGAATTCAACAACAATGCAAAGTGCAGAAACCTTATAAACTTATAGAAAGTGAACAGTGCACAACTGCACCATTCTGGGTCAAGGAAGAAATAAAGAAAGAAATTAAAGACTTTCTAGAATTCAATGAGAATGAAGACACAACATACCCAAACTTATGGGATACTTTGAAAATAGTGCTAAGAGGAAAGTTCATAACACTAAATGCCCACATAAAGAAACTGAAGAATAGTCACACTGGAGAATTAAAGGCACAACTGAAAGCTCTAGAGCAAAAAGAAGCAAACTCACCCCAGAGTAGATGCCAGGAAATAATCAAATGAGGGATGAAATCAATAAAGTAGAAACTAGGAAAACAATATAAAGAATCAATGCAACAAAGAGTTGGTTCTTCGAGGAAATCAACAAGATAGAGAAACCTTTATCCAAACTAACCAAAAGGCAGAGAGAGAACATGCAAATTACCAAAGTCAGAAATGAAAAAGGGGACATAACAATGGACACTGAGAAAATCCAGAGAATCTTCAGGTCATACTTTGAAAACCTTTACTCCACAAAAATCGAAAATTTAATGGAAATGGACAATTTTCTGGATAAATATCACTTACCAAAATTAAATCAAGAACAGATAAGCAATTTAAATAGACCTACAACCCCTAATGAAATAGAAGCAATCATCAAAAGTTTCCCAACAGTAAAAAAAAAAAAATGCCCAGGGCCAGATGGGTTCAGTGCAGAATTCTACCAGAAATTCAAAGAAGAGCTAATACCAATACTCCTCAAAGTGTTCCACACAATAGAAGCAGAAGGGTCACTGACAAACTCTTTTTATGAGGCTACAATTACCTTAGTACCCAAGCCACACAAAGACACAACTAAGAAAGAGCTACAGACCAATATCCTTCATGAACATTGATGCAAAAATACTGGCAAATCAAATCCAAGAGCACATCAGAGAAATCATCCACCATGACCAAGTAGGCTTCATCCTACCCCAGGGATGCAGGGATGGTTCAACAAACGAAAATCCATCAATATAATACACCATATAAACAAACTGAAAAAGAAAAACCACATGATCATCTCACTAGATGCTGAAAAAGCTTTGACAAAATCCAACACCCCTTTATGAGGTATTGGAGACAGCAGGGATAATAGGAACATGCCTAAACATAATAAAAGCAAACCAACAGCCAACATCAAACTAAATGGAGAGAAACTCAATGTGATTCCTCTAAAATCAGGAACAAGACAAGGCTGTCCGCTCTCCCCATATCTCTTCAATATTATACTTGAAATTCTACCTAGAGCAATAAGACAACAAAAGGAGATCAAGGGGATACAAACTGGAAAGGAAGATGTCAAACTTTCACTATTTGCAGATGATATGATAGTTTACATAAGTGACCCAAAAAACTCTACCAGGGAACTCCTACAGCTGATAAACACATTCAGCAAAATGGCAAAATACAAGATTAACTAAAAAAAAAATAAAATAAAAAAATCAGTAGCCCTAATATATACAGATGGTAAAGGGGCTGAGAAAGAAATCAAAGAAACATCACATTTTAAAATAGCCACAAACGACATAAAATATTTTGGGGTAACACTAACCAAGCAAGTGAAAGACCTATATAATAAGAACTTAGCATCTTTAACAAAAGAAATTAAAGAAGATACCAGAAAATGGAAAGATCTCCCATACTCTTGGATAGGTAGGAGCAACATAGTAAAAATGGCAATATTGCCAAAATCAATCTACAGATTCAATGCAATCCCCAACAAAATCTCAGCACAATTCTTCACAAACCTTGAAAGAACAACACTCAACTTAATATGGAAAAACAAAAGACCAAGGATAGCCAAAACAACCATGTACAATAAAAGAATTTCAGGAGGCATCACCATCCCTGACTTCAAGCTCTATTATAGAGCTATAGTCCTGAAAACAGCTTGGTATTGGCGCCAAAACAGACAGGAAGACCAATGGAATCAAATTGAAAACCCTGATATTAACTCACCCACCTATGAACACCTGATTTTTTGATGAAGAAGCTAAAATTATACAATGGAAAAAAAAGAAAGGATCTTTAACAAATGGTGCTGGCATAACTGGATGATGACTTGCAGAAGACTGCTGATAGATTCAAATCTGTCGCCATGCTCAAAACTTAAGTCCAAATGGATCAAAGACCTCAACATAAATCCAGCCACACTAAACCTCTTAGAAGAGAAAGTGGCAAATACCCTTGAACAAATTGGTACAAGAGACTGCTTCCTGAACACAACACCAGTAGCACAGACACTGAGATCAACAATTAATAAATGGGACCTCCTGAAACTGAAAAGCATCTGTAAGGCAATGACACAGTCAATAAGACAAAACAGCAGCCCACAGAATGGGAAAAGATACTCACCAACCCCACATGTGACAGAGGGCTGATTTCCAAAATATACAAAGACCTCAAGAAGCTAGTTACCAAAACACCAAATAATCCAATTAAAAGTGGAGTATAGAAATAAATAGAAAATTCTCAATAGAGGAATCTATAATAGCTCTTCAACTGAAGATGGATGGAGAAAATGTGGTACATTTACACAATGGAGAACTACTCAGTGGAAAAAACAATGGAATCAAAATTCGCAGGCAAATGGATGGAACTAGAAGAAACCATCCTGAGTGAGGTAACTCAGTCACAAAAAGACACACACTCACTCATATATGGTTTTTAGACATAGAACAAGGATTACCAGCCTACAATCCAAACCATCAGAAAACCTAGGAAACAAGGAGGATCCTAAGAGAGACATACATGGTCCCCTGGAGGAGGGACAAGATCTCCCAAGCAAATTGGGAGCACTGGTGGAGGGGAGAAGGAGTTAGGGAGAGGTGGGCATGAGGGATCAGAAAGATTGAGTGAGGGAAAGAATAGAGGAGAGCAAGAAAAGAGATACCATAATAAAGGGAGCCATTACAGGTTTTAAGAGAAATATGACACTGGTGAAATGTCCAGAGATCTACAAGGATGACTTCAACTTACAATCTAAGCAATAGTGGAGAGGCTACCTTTAATGTTCTTCCATCCTAGAGCCTTCATCTAGTAGCTGATGGAAGCAGAAGCAGACACTCACAGCTAGACACTGAGATGAACTCTTGGAATCCAGATGCAGACAGGGAGGAGTGATGAGCAAAGGGGTTAAGACCAGGCTGGAGAAACCCACAGAAACAGCTGACCTGAACAAGGACACTCATAGACTTCAATCTCATAGCTGGGAAACCAGCATAGAACCAACCCAGACCCCCTGAATGTGGGTGTTAGTTAGGAGGACTGGGCAGTCTATGGGGCCTCTAGTAGTGGATCAGTATTTATCCCTAATATACAAATGGACTTTGGGAGCCCATCCCACATCCAGCCTAGACACATGGGAGGGCCTGGGCCCTGCTCCAAATGACATGACAGACTTTGAAGACTCCCCATGGAAGACTTTACCCTCCCTGGGGAGCAGAAATGGGATGGGATGGGGATTGGTGGGGGGAACAGGGGAGGACAGGAGGGTGTGGGAAATGGGACTGGCCTGTAAAACAAGCTTGTTTCACATTTAGATAAAAAATTATAAAAAATAAAATAAGAGTTTTCTTGGTGCAGTGGGGCATGCCTTCCATTCCAGCATTCAGGAAGCTGAAGCAGTTAAAGGGTCATGAGTTCTAGCTTCAATTTTGTCTCAAGAGAGAGAGGGAGAGAAAAAAAAAGTAAAAAGATGATCCAAATAATCAGAGAACTATTGTTAATCTTTTATCAATCAGAAAACTTGTATTTAAAACACATAGAATACTGATAAAATCTATACCAAAATGGACAACCTAATTTTTAAAATGGATCAAATAACAATAGCTATCTTCCTTGAAGACCAACTATTACATGAAAAATGCTCAATATCATCAATTATCAGAAAAAAGCAAACCAAAACCACATTGTGGTATGACTTCAATCCTATTAGGATAAGCATAACTACATAAAAGCAAACAGGGCTGGCGAGACGGCTCAGCAGGTAAAGGTGTTGCTGTGAAACCTGACTGCCAGTTCTATCCCTGGGCCCTAAATGGTGGAAGAAGGGAAGTGCCCTCTGATTGCACACGCTGTGTCAAGTATACAGTACCCCCACTTCACACACACACACACACATAAACAAACAGAATGGAAATTAAAATGAATAAAAGCAATGAAATAACAAGTATTGGTAAGAATTTAGAGGAATCAGAACCATTGGTAGAAATACAGAATGGCTCAGCCACTTTGAATACATTTGGCATCTCTCCAACTAGCAAAACAGTTACCATATTACCTAGGAATTAAAACAAACATCTACAAAAACAACAACTTGTGCAAAAGTGCTGATGGCAGTGTTATCTGCAATTATCTGCAGTAGCCAGAAGGTAGAAACAACCCAAACACAAGGTAACAAGTGACTCAACAGATAAAATGTGGCATATCACAGAACTGGTGTTAAGCCATTAGAAGGAGCAAGGCGCTCACACTATGGATGCACCTTCACATAAGTTAAGCCTCAGGTTACCTGCAGTCCCTCTCCAGTTCCTTGGATTCATCAGTGCAGTAAAAAAACTTGCCCTTGAAGAGCTGCACGGCAATGACGGCAAATATGAACATGAAGAGCATGTAGACAATCAAGATGTTCAAGACGTTCTTCAGGGAGTTCACCACACAGTCAAACACAGCCTGCGAGGGGAGAGAACAGGGTCACTCAAGGGAGGAGCAAAGTAGAACTCAGTGGTCATGAGGGAGTAGGTCCCTGACAGAGGGCAGGAGATGGGGGTTAGGTAGGAAAGTATGGAGTGGATCAAAAGAGAGGACAGACAGTTACAGGCTCAGAACCTCAGCACCCCAGAGGCCCAGACTCCCAGGGGCATTCAAGAACCGCTTGCAGCCCTCTAACTCATGAGCACAGAGGGCACTACCACAGAGGGCAAGCCACCTTAACAGTTCTCCTTCTCTCAGGAAGAGAACATCATCCTAGCTTTGACCAGTGGGCTGGAGGTACCAGACCAGCTACCTGGACACCCAGGGAAACTGCCCTTGCAATAGGCTGGAGCCAGGCCATAGCAAAGAGCCAAAAGAGACCAGGCCTGTGCAGAGAAAATGTACTAACCTTGTATACTGTCCTGTTTTGTTCTTGCCTAGCAATAGCATTGATATGGAGGACAGATAAAGCTGTAGGCAAGGGGCTATGTCCCTGAGGAGCGTGTGACAGAGAATTTGAATGTGTTCTAGGATCTAGATGTGACTCAAGGTCCTCACCCTGCTCCCAGAGCTGAAAGGATGCTATCAGGCTACCTTGAAGACCAAAATGATCTTTGGAGACACTGGTTAGCATAGTCCAAATGCTGCCAGCTGCTGGGCCGGTGCACAGCATTCCTCCCTGCTGCCTTGGCCCAGGGCCTCCCTGAGGCCTTTCCAGTTCACTTCCCCACACATTACTTGATACACAAGTGCTAAGCCATCTTTCTCTGTAACTTACACTTTGATTAGTGTCTCTGAGGTTTACATGTCCAAACCATTGAGATGAAAACCTACTGCGTAAGTTTTGAAGCTAGAGAAGGGGAAGCGTAGAAAGCACTTTGTCCTTGACTCAGGCTCTCTACCATTAAATCAGGTTTAAACTGTACCTCCTTCATCCAGAGACTCAGCAGGACCCGCCCTCTTTGGTGGTCCATGCCCTCTTTAGCTGAGCCCAGCAGCTACTTTCTGGAGTCCCTGACTCGTGGCATCCTACCCCTGTGCCCTTTGTCCTGTGTTCTTCCCTGTCCCGCCATAGTGGCCCACCCAGTGCTGGAGGTCAAGGAAGAGGGTCCTCAATTGGGAATAGACCTCCTTGGAGAAGGGTTTTAGAGTTAAGCAAGACTGTCCCCTCACAGAGGTGACCAGTTTGTGAAGACACCTGCACCCACCCACACACCATTGCGCCCACATGCATAGCGCACCCCTTGAGCCTCAATCCCAGACTCCAACCTTGAGCTTAGGCAGCCGTTTGATGGTCTTCAGGGGCCGCAGGACACGTAGGACTCTCAGGGACTTGATGGTATTGATGTCTTTCCCTTTGGATCCTCTAGAAGGGAGAAGTTGCTGATGCTGACAGGCAGAGCGCTGGCTTGAGTCCAGCCCCTACCCAGTCTGCTTGGTCTGTCTGATATGGCCCTGTACATTCTGTCTCAGGCCCCAGGTAGAGGACTCGGTGGGGCAACTCTTCCCATGGCTGCCTGGGTGGGCTAGGGCCAGTACCAAACCTAAGTGAACCACTAGTATACAGGGAAAGCTGATTTCTCAAGAGGAAAGAGCCCAAGCTCTTGGCTGTAATGGCTACTTCCATTTGCCCAGAGCTCCTGACAGGCACTTCCAAACCAGCAGAGCAGAGGTCTGTGAGCCTGTCTATTTGCTAGAACTCAGGGGTGTCACCTGAATGTCATCAGCTGCAGAACACACCTCAGGTGACCAAAAGGAAAGTGGGGAAAGAGTAAGAAAGAGACATAAATACAGAAGCAATGCCAGATACTGGCATAAAGTGAGACAGAAAGAGAAGAGGAAAGAAGGAAGAGAGGGGTCAAAGGAATAGGGGAAGGGAGCGGGGAAGAGGAGACAAGCAAGGGAGGAGGAAAGAGAAACACAGACCCTGAGAAGCAGCCAGATACCAGGATGATCAAGAAAGTAGCAGGCAGGAGAGAGAAACAGAAAGTTAGGCAGGACTCCAGATACTAGCAGCAAGCTCAAAATTCTAGGATTAGAAAAGAACCCTCAGGATGGAGAGATGGCTCAGTGGTTAAGAGCACTGGCTGCTCTTCCTGAGGTTCTGAGTTCAATTCCCAGCAACCACATGGTGGCTCACAACCAACTCTAGTGGGCTCTGATGCCCTTTTCTGGCATAAAGTTGTATAAGCAGATAAAGCACTCATACAAATAAATATTCAGAAAAGAACCCCCTGGAAACCAGAGCAGACACAAATGCTGATTCTGCCTGTTGGAGGTTGGGGATGGCAAGAATTAGCTATCAGGGGCAGCCCTGGGAAGGCTTCCTGCATGCACGGAGCCCTATCCTAGCCAGCCAGCTCAGACATCACTCCCACCCAGATCCCTGAGCTTGGCCTGCAAATGTGGCTGGATCAGCTCCAAATGGCTTCCCTTGGGCTCGAGCACAACTCTAGGATAAACAGAAAGCAGCTGTACATCCCAGACCTTCTTCGCAGGAAAGGAGACATATGGTCCCCACACTTCCCTTTCCTCAGTCCCACATCTCAGAATCAGATCAAACTTCCTTAAAGCTGACATGTCAGAAGGCTTGCAAGTCTGAGGTTATCTTGGGCTGGCTTGGTTACCCAAAAAAACAAAACCTGCCTTTCTATTGCCCAACACTTCCAACACTCACTTTTACCCACCTCCCTCTGGCAGTACCAGACTAGCCAGGGTGGGTGGCAAAGGAAGAGGGGGACTTCCAAGAAGAAATGCCCACTGGAGCCACTCTCTGGGCTCAAGTCTTCCCCTCTCTGCTTGCTTGGAGACCACAGGCTGAGTCCCATCCTTTCCCTACTACCACCCGGAACCCCTGTGAAACACTGCCTGGAGTTCTCCAGGGCCCTTGTTAATACTCTAGCAAATGCTCATTCCCTTTGTCATTTCCTCAATGGACAGAGAGTCCATTAAGACACCCAGAGGAGACATTGGGAGGTACTGGGAAGGGGGCTTATGGCAGGGAGACAAAAAGAAAACTGCGTTTCCAGAAAGTAGCCCCTTGGGAAAGCACTGCAGGGTGTCCAGCAGCATGGACTGTGGTCACTACTGCTAGCTTCTACCCAGACCCCTCACTGTTCTCTAGGCCAGTTCCCCAGTCTCTATTACTCTCAGATACCTGCTTACTGAGGGCCTCCCTGCCTAGGGCTGACCATGCCTAGCCCAGCCCAGCTCCCAACCAGTCCCCAGAGGCATGGCAGGAATGGTGGCCTGGGATGGCTCCTGGTAGGTAGTAGCATGCATCCTAAACAGGGTGAAGGTGGATGAGTAGGAGTGAGGCCATGATGGATGGGCCAGAGGCCATAGGCGTGCCATGATGTTAGGCAATATGAAGGGAAGGGGAGGCATTACCCCATGAAGCTCCTATCAGAGTCCAGCAAGAAGAAGACAAAGAGAACAGAGTCAGTGTTGTGGGGGGCAGAACACAAGCTGCCACTGGCCCACCCAAGGGCCAGAGAAAACAGACCCTCCCCTGGAGTCATTCTTGTCTCTGAATCTCACCCCACAACTTCCCCTCTATTACCTTATGCCTGGCCCAACCTAGACTCTCCATGGAGGGTCTAGTCCCAACTATCACCAAGCTAAAGGTAATTGAGACAGGAATCAGAGAGAATAGCCTCATGCCCCCAACAAACAAAGATTTCTATCAGCTAGGGCAAAAAAATGCCAATCAGTTAGGCACTCACTTCAGAGCAGGTAAGTAGGCTCCAAAGGAGCAAGGAAGGTACCCCCAACCCAGAGGCTTGCCCAGCCAGTGCCCAGCCACAGGTAGTGTCAGGAACAGGTGGCCTCCATTTTCAATCCCACATCCCAGCCCCCAGAAGGCAGATGGCCCTGTGTGTACAGTGATGGAGCTACAGACCAAACAGGAGCCCCACCTTTCTCTTTTCTCACCCTCACACCCACTGTGGTTCTGGCTACACCCACAGGATCCAGAGTAGATGTAAGGGTTACTTACGAGAAAGCAAATGCCACCAGGGCTCCACTGACAACAATGAAGTCCAGAATATTCCACAGGTCCCGGAAGTAGGCTCCAGGGTGCAGCAGCAGTCCCAAGTCTATCATCTTAAGGGGATAAGCTGACATTAGAGTACAATACATAAGGAAAAGAGAGACAGAGGCAGGCCCCAGCCATGGAGGGACATAGTTCTGAGTATAGGCCCATTGCTCAGATCACACTACATGCTGTGTACACTATGACCTCAGTGCAGCTCAGACACACTCTACATACCCTCTCAGAGAAGGTAAGCAACACAGGTCACACTTTTTTTCACTTTTCTATAATTTAGTTTTATATGAGCCATGATGTTTGCCTTCATGTATGTCTGTGTGAGGGTGTCAGATCTTTGAGTAATAGTTGTGAGCTGCCATGCAGGTGTAGGAATTGAACCTTGGTCCTTTGGAAGAGCACTCAGTGCTCTTAACTCTTGAGCCATCTCTCCAGTCCCTGGGTCACACTCTTAAATGATTTCAATAGGGCCTTGACCTCAATGTCCCTACAGAGGCCATGACTGTCTTGAGTCCTGCCTAGGTTCCGACCTTTTCTGAAGCTTCACTGTAGTAAGAGTTCTCTCACTGTCCCCTACCTCTCTAGTGACAGACATGTTCCCTTCAAGAACTCGCATAGCCCAGATCTGAAAGCTGAGCTCAGGAAAAAAAAAAAAAAAAAAAAAAAAAAAGCTGATCCAAGCTTCATGTCCTAACTCTGCCATTTCTGCTACAGTGACTTTTGACAAATACCACAATCTTTTATCTTCAACATCTGCACCTGCAAATCCAGCCGGCACCTTCCTCACAGATTTTAAGTACACAAGCAGCAGCAGTAATACACGTATGATTCGCTTGTAAGTGAGCGGTCCCACTGAACTGACTACAAGCAGGCAAGTGCACGTGTGCCTTCATTGACGTATGTGCACATGTGTGTAGTTCACTGCACTGAATGCACATCTGTGCATGCCAGACACGGATAAAGAAAGTAGAAGTTGCGATGACATGACTGCTGTAATTTAAGGAAAGCAACCTGAGAGAGAAAGACGCCATGTGACAGAGCTCAAGCAGAGGTTGTTTATTAGGGAAAGGGGTCAGGGATCATAAAAAGGGGAAAGAGGAGTGGAGAGACTGGCCTCCAGAGATCAGAGCAGCAGGAGAGAGGAAAGAGGAGCAGGGGGGGAGGGAAGGAAGAAGGCAGAGAGGGAGAGAGGGAAGGAGGGAGGGAGGGAACTAGGCAGAGGCCTTTTAAAAGAGAACATAGTGAATATGCACAGGTGGTACTCTTGGTGGAAGCAGCTGCAGGAGGGTGTATCCTGTCAGAACCCCAAGGACAGGCCAGTATAGATGCCTAAATAATAACAATGGCAGACTCTCAGGCTATCAGGAAATTGTGTCTTCAGTATCTAACAGTATTCCAACCATCTCTCTCTAAAATCTTCTTTATTCTGTGCCTTGTCATATGGCTCCTTCTTTGTGGTGAGGCAACTCAGGAGAGGAGGCAGAGTATACATGCACGCATGCACGCATGCACTCTCACACACTCTAAGTAAAGCCTGAAGTCCCCATTCTCAGAAGCCAAGAACACTGGTACCAAGTTCCCTAGCAGCATTCCATAGGACAGCATGACAATGGGGACCCTTTGTGGCTGGTAAGGCTTTTAGCCATCAAAATACTTCATGCACACATGTGCACATTTGCTGTCTGAACACATGCCTGGTTGCACACATTGCATGCCTCATAGAAACTGAAGGATTCACCATATCTCACCTTTATGACCATTTCAAAGGTGAAGACACCTGTAAAGATGTAATCCATGTACTTTAAAACCTAGAACCAAAAGCAGGATTACTTTAGGCCGGCCTGAATCCAGAGGCAGGGATACATCATTGGCAGGGGCCTAGCCTCCCCTCAGTTCTCTGGGCAGAATCAGCTGGCAATAGTGTCAGAACATCCCTCAAGGAAGGACCCTTCAGTGGTTGCCCTGCTAGCGCTGGCATGTTATCAGGGTTAAAGGAGACACAGGCTTTTCCAGATCTTTGGTTCTAACACCCCCAGAGGGCAGAAGGATGTCAGAGAGAAAACAGGACACCACCACCCCACCCCGGTGGACCCTGGGAATATGTCCGGTGGCACCCCAGCAGCCTAGCAGGGTCCCAGTACTTATGACACTCACATTGTTCCGGGATGAATCAGTTCGCACAGGGTCCTCAGCAGCCAAGGCAATGCTGCTCAGGGCAATAACCACAAGAATCACCATCTCAAAGTACCGCATGGTCACAATGTAATGGCAGAAGCGACGGAGCCTGTGAGGACAAGGCTCAGGTCACCATAGGCCAACACCTGAGTATGTCAACCTCTCCCACAAGAAGGGCTCATTGGCTCCCACAGGAAAGCATGGCAGCATCAGAATGGAGCTTTGCCCGCCTCTAATTTCTGTGGTGAAGAGTCCGCAGGTGACTGTGACTGAGTTTCCTGAGACGACATTTCAGGTCAGGGGTCAGTAACTACAGTTCAAGGCCAGACCTCATGCCACTGGTGACTAGCTTTATGTGGGAACAATAGATGCCTCTACTCAGTTGTGTACTATGTGTAGCCCCAGAGCAGGTGATAGGAACCACCTGGCCCCGCACAGATCATGTAAAGCAGAGGGGGTGGGTTAGAGGAGGTGGTCCGTGAAGGAAAGTATTTCAGTACACCAGTCTGGCAGAAAGCAGGCCACTGCTCCCCTAGAGTGCCTGGGTCTGTGACGAATGTAAGCCATCACCACTTGCTTCCCATATCAACTGACCAGGCCCTTTGTTTGGTTTTCAACATCACTGTGCCTGAAATGAGAAAGCCAAGTTCCTGGTTACGTGAAGCTCCACTCCAGGAAGCAATCCCCAGTGCAGTGATAACCAAACCAGAGTCTCTCGGTTGCCAAGTACTGAAGCAGTCATCTGGCCAGATTGGGAAGGCTGAACCCATGTGACAGAAAAGAAAGAGCAACCATAGACCCAGCATGTGGAACAGACATCTCTCCCACTATGGCCAGAGCCTCAACAGGATCCACAAGTCTACCCCTGACACTAACCCCTCCAGGTCCCTCTCCTAACTCCACATCCCCAGGGACATCTACTGTCAAAAGCTTGCAACTTCTCAGCCACTACCTACTTCTACCTACCATCTACCTACTTCTCTCCTCTTCCTCCATAACCCTTTGCATATCCTACAAAGCCAGTCTTCCCACGTCCCAGGCAGCTTGCTAGCCCTTATTCCCTAAGCTCACCATCTCCTCTTCTAATTCAGTCGTGCAGCTCATAGCTACATTTCCTCTAGGTGTGCTGCCAGCTCACCTATCCATGAGATGCCCCAGATGTCCTCCTTCTGTGTGATCTAACACTGACTAGACACCCAAAGCCCAACCAGACTGCCCCAAACACTTCTGATCTCACTGATGGTCCAGCCTTTTGTCAGCAAACGGGAGCTTATATATCCCTGATACCTCCCTTCCATCTATTTCTACTTGATCATCACATTCTGCATCTGAAATTTCCCCCGGCACTTCACTTTTGAGCCTCTACCCTCACTACCAAAGTCACACCTCATCATCTCTTCCTTGTCTGTTTCCTAACCAGTCTGCCTTCCATAATCTTCCACTGGTGGGCAGCACTGAACTACGGGAGAAAGGACCCTACCGTGACTAGTCCTCCAGACAGCCAAAGGGAGCTTCTCTTCACAGCCATCCAACCGGCTGCCTTCTACTTCTATCCATCATTAATGCCCTCTCCACTTCATCCTAAAGCATCCTTCACATTCCACTGAGACACCACTCCCTTCGGGACAGCTCCATCAGCCTTCTCCTGTCTGCTCCAGAACGTCAGAACCTCCCCATCTTACATCCCTCTGCCTCACCAACACACTGCCATTCCAAGGAAGGCAGGGGAAAGGTATGTCCCTGTTACCATTCACTCCTAACCCAGAACCTAGCAGAGGGAGCACCCCATAAAGAGGTGCTGAGCGAAGACCCAAAGGCTGGGAAAAGAAAGAGAGCATTGGTGCCGCCGGCAGTGTGGAGACTTGGAAAACGGAGGGCAGGAGGGCAGCCGAACAATAATTACAACTCTTTTCATGTTGTCACCTTCTGACCTCTTCACCACCCACCCCACTCTGGCCAGTTGGCTTTTGTAGGACTTTAACCTCTCTCCCTTCTACCCAGAGTGTTCTTCCTCCCCTTCCTCAAGTGTTTGATCCATTCTTCCCTCCGAGGCCCCGACCTGATCTTTCCACTAATTTTAATAGCAACGAAGCCTACATCTCCACCTCCACTTGTTTCTTTCTAGTATTCCTTCATCACTGTCCAGCATATCACTGCATTAACTTGCTTGTTTGTCCTGCCCCCTGGATCACATGCTTTAAATAAAGATAAGTCTTGCCTGTCTTCATCATCACTGTACTTCAACACCTACAATGCCATTTGCATGTGAATGTTGTTTGGATTAACAAAGTGCCAAAATAATGAGTGTATGATAATCATGACCAACATGGGAAGGAACATACAATGGTAACAGAGGGAGGGTGAATGGAGTGAGCTATGTGCTAAGTACAAACGGTCCTCTGTGAGGTGACGAACACAACAGTGGAAAAGAAGGTTGGTGTATAGGCTCTGAAAGATACTGGCATCGGACCCAGCCCCCACCACCAAGACTATGTGGCTGTGTGTCTATACAAGGCACAAAACTTTGTACTTCTGTGTCTTCATCTATAAAATGAGCTGGCATGTGTGTCTCACAGAAATACTAAGACAAACATGTTCAATAAATGGATAGAATAAGTCTCTACAAGGTGTGTGACCCATGGAAGCTGGCTAATGTGCTCATACACTCATGGCAAAGACACAGGCGGGACACACCCAGGCCACAGGCACTGAGGAGACTCACAGGTTGGTGGGGCTGAGACAGAACATGGAGCTGTATGGAACGATGGGCCGGGGGCCTCTTCTCAGTACATCATCAGCCTCTGCCTCCTTCTTGCCCTCTGCTTGGCCTTCCAGGTCCACATTACCACCTATAAGGACACAGGGCCTCAAAATTAGGGGATGTACACACATAAAGCCATAACACATGGGTCTCTCCCAGCTCCAGGCCATGGACAAGAGAGGCAGGCTACCATATGCCTATCCAAACAAGGATAGTTGGTTAAGAACAATGCTTTAGTGAGCAGAATAGATCCAGGGCCAGACCTGGAAATACAGGACAACCTGACACATCTGAGTAGGAGACAGAGGGTGACCTGGCACATCTGAGTAGGCCCTGATTGCCTCCTACACTGTGGTGTGAAAAACACCATGCTAATACTACTCCCTTGATATGGACACCAATGCTCCCAGAACCCAGTGAGCCCTTCTCTCTGCCTGGTAGATCTCCAGGCAGCAAAACAGGGCAAAGCAGGGGACTTCCAGGAACCCACAAACCTGAAGGTACTCCCTGAAGCCCATCGTCCAGCTCTAGCTTGATTTGGCCTGGAGTTTCTCTTGCAGCACTCTGGAGACTAGAGAGCTAGCCACCCCACTTGTAGACCCAGCCTTTTGGGCTCTTCCCTGACTCCTACTCACTGCTGCCCTCTCCACCGCCCTCTCCTCTGTTCTCAGTGCCCATCATCTTTGTACCCATAAACTCGGCTCCCTAGGTTATTTCAGCCAGGAGTGGCATCCTTTTAAGGTAAGCTATGTATTTCTCTCAAGTCTTTATTTTTAGCTATAGTAGATAGACCTCAGAGACATCAAAGGAGATGTGTAGTGACTTGAGCCACCTCTCACTGCCAAATTCTTTTTACCACTTTTAAAGAGTATTCACAAAACCAAAGAAAGTATTTAGGAGTAACAAAAATGGAGGGGCTCATGCATGCCAAAGCCCACTGTGGAGACCGCAGAACGCAGCTGTTCCCTGATCACTGGCCACTCAACATACAGTGGAGAGCAGCTAGAGCAAAACAACAGAGTTTGGTTCTGGAACCACCCACCTGCAAGTGCTTTAAAGCAGACACTTTGAACGGAACACCATCAGATTTTCCTGCTGAAGATGTAAGTTACATAGTCGTCTGAGAAAATAATTGGTAATACTTACTAACCCCCCAACATTCTACTAATTTATATGACATTATCTCTGGGGGCAGAGAGAGCCCTTTAAGTTCTCCAATAGTGAAAAATTATAAAACATGCAACCACAGGAAATGTACAAAAATACTCACATGAAGGATACTGAAAGCATGGAAGCTTAAAGGAACAAGAGGTATACGAAATAGAAAGGTAACAGGCAGAGCATGAGTACCATGCTTTCTGCCCCAAAGGAGCCCTGTCACAGCATTGCACATGTGACATAGAACAAGAAGACCGATCATGAGTAGCTTTCTGGCAACAACTGTTTTCCCACTTTTAACATCAAAAAGGCTTCCATGTGAGCACATACTACTTTTAAAGAAAGATGCATCGTTTTAATGTTGTGCCTTTTTAACTCCTCTCCAGTAAATACAGCAAAGCCAAAAAGAAGTAAACAAGGGAAAGAACCAAGCTGGAGTTGAAGAACTAAATAATTAAAAAGAAACAAAATAAAACACTAGAGCCTAGATGGAAATACTGCTGAGAAAAATTTGCCATAACAAAATCATGGGAAAATATCATATACATATACATATACATATACATATAGGCATGTAATAGCAATTAGTGAAAAGAGGCCATGAAAGAGAGCAAGGAGGGGTCCATGCTAGGGTTTGGAGGGAGCAAAACAAGAAAAAGAGTCAGGATGAAAGCTACCACAGGCTATGTGAATCCACTGCAGGATGGGAAGGGCAGGAAGAGAGTCAGACTCAAAGGCTGTGTGCCAGCCACCACTGATATGGTTTTGGTTTGTTTGAAATCTAGACTGACCCAAGGAATGGCTGTGTGGGAAAATGACCACTGGTGCTGAAATGGGACCCCAAGGTTGGTACTCACTGTAAGATAGGGCAGAAATGGCCTCCATCATCAAGCCACATTCCTGAGCAAGGGGCTACCCTGAGCAAGACTGCTCTGCTGAGGAGGGGACATATAAGTCCTGACAAAAAACACATTTGGGCTACAGAATCTCTATAGACTAAGAGAGTTTTTAAAATAGTTTAAGCACATTTTTCCTGTACATCTGGCATGGCACTGGCTAGGTACTGTCCTTAGAAAGAATACAAGTGAACAGCCAGTCAGTTCTTTGTAGGAGGAAATTACCTCACACTGCCAGGTGAGAAAGGGAAGGTGAATAGTAATCACATTTTAAATGAAGAGAGAGAGAGAGAGAGAGAGAGAGAGAGAGAGAGAGAGAGAGAGAAGAAAAGAAGAAAGAAAATGCTAACGAGCATACAAGAAAACAAGGCCAGCACAATCAAAGGGGTAGAAATGACAGGCAATCATTTAGAACCACCAATGACTTCAGATTTAGAAAATTTTTTTTTAGATGACAAATATAAAATGTGAGAAATAAAAAGTGAATCTTTTAAAAACTTCAAGCAATAAAACTTTGGCACGGGTTCACTGACACCCCTCCAAGTCCCTGTGACAGTTGAAGAAACAGGAGAGCAGCCTGTCTGAAGAAACGAAGATCGCTACCAGAAGGAATGAGAGCAAATTTCTCTGTGAGGAGGAGATAAGAGCCCCACATGTTCACCCATATGTTCTCTGAGAGCATTTCCCATTTGTCATACTCAGCAACAATATTCAAACAGAAACCACCTGCTTCATAGAGACAAGGATGAAAAGACTGGAGTCTGAAGACAGTGGTGTCTGAGTCCTGAGAGAAGAACCCTAAGGAAAGTAAAGCCACAGGCATCTCTGCTGGCACAGACCAATGTCCCTGGGTTCAGAAGAGACCGGGCTCCCTGGGTAGCAAGTCCCCTCCCAGGCCTGCAGCCCACAGGAGACAGAGCTGCAGGGTTTCAGACTGCAAAGGACTAACAGGTCTCCACTCTGGGTACAAATGCCATGAATAAGGAATCTGCTGTTCATTATAGAAACCATTCTTGCTTCATTCATGTTCTTTGCAGTTATACGGACCCCCTTTCCAAGAGGCCTGTTGCATTTCCAGGAACACATACATCATGTTGCAGCAAAAAAGTAACATGCCAATAACAGTTTCCATTTTAAGGGATTCTGAATAAGGACTAAAACACTGACTGACTATGACAAAGAAGTTGAGTAAAACAGGACACACGCCTCCTTGATGCTAATGTACTTTAAAAAATAGCTTAATATATAACCAACCATAAGCTAAGCTTTCAGAGAATAAATTATTAATAAACCTCAAGGGAAATTACCATAGAGGTCAATATCCTAATCACAGCACAATTAAATTAGAAACCATAGTAACAAAAACGATTAAAGTAAAAATTTCACATTTGGTAATTGAGTAATAGACTTTATGATCCCATCAATCACTGGCCGGTGGTGGCACACACCTTCAATCTCAGTACTTGGGAGGTAGAGGTAGGTGGATCTCTGTGAGTCTGAGGCCAGCCTCGTCTACAGAGTGAGTTCCAGGACAGCTAGGGCTGTGACACAGAGAAATCCTGTCTTGAACCCCTGCCCCCCCCCAAAAAAAATTTCCATCAATCAAAAGTGAGACATTGGCCAGGCATGGTGGTATATGTCTGTAATCACAATGCTCAAGCTTAAGTAGGCTTATATTATTAGGCAAGCTCCTTAAGTCTTAACTGTACCACAGGTGCACTGCAGGGAGAATTAGAGACCAGCATGGTGAGATTCTATCTCCAAAAGCATATGCATATGTGAACATGTGATCACAAATTGTGCAATTTCATCCAAATAACCACTTCTCTGCAGAGTAAGGAGAGTATTTATTTGCAATTCTGTGGCTTAACATGGTCATCAGATTAAAACTGCCTGTATTGTTATAAAGGAGTAAATAATTGGCAAATAGAGTTTTTATTTTTTCTTTTATTTTGGAGACTGTAATGTAATTACATCATTTCTCTTTATTCTTTTTTCCTCTAAACCCTCCCATGATACCTCTCATTGTTCTCTTCAAATGTATGGCCTCCTTTTTCATTAATTGTTATTGTAGCATATATGTATATACATATAGAACTATATTCTTAACCTGCTCAGGCTGTATAATGTTATTTGGATGTATGTTTTCAGGGCTGACCATTTGGTATTGGCAATTGAAGTGCTCTTCCCTGGAGAAGACTATTTCTCTACTCTCATCATTCCTTGGTTGAGTACCACTATCTTTGAGCCTGGAGAATGACTCAGCAGTTAAGAAAGAGGACAGGGGTTTGGCTTCCAGCACCCACATCAGCACATCAGGTGCTAGTAACTCTAGTCCAGGAGTATACAACATCCTCTTCTGGTCTCCAAAGCCCTCAAATACCTCCCCCCCAACACACACACACACATATACATACACACAGAGAGAGAGAGAAAGAGAGAGAGAGAATGGGTTTGTTTATTTTTTAGATAAAAAACAGAAACAAACAAAATATATCATTCTGGAAAAGAGAATAAACAAAGCAAAAGACAAATTTTTCAAAATAAGAGAAATGAGAATGTAAAACTTAAGAAGTCAGAAATAAATACTGTAAGTGTGGCATATCTGTGACATGTTTCTCAAAACACAATACAAAACAAAAACACACTAACAACAACACTGAACGCTAACCCTTAACACTAAAATCTAAAAGCTATGAAAAAACCCAGCAGTAGGCTTGGGGTACAACTCAGAAGCAGAGAGTTTACCTAACAAGTGTGAGGCCCTACATTCCATCCCAAATGCCACAACAGGGGCTGGACTAAGACTGTCTGACTCAATAGCAAGGGCCACAGGTCACAATTTATCACTGTGGCATCTGCATCAGGAGAAGCAACCAGAAGGAAATGAAAATGAATAAAAATGTAAGGGACCAAACAGGATGCAATGTCAGAATAGTTCTGTAAATGCATTCTGGACTCTTAAGTAACCCTCAAGGTCATCCTGACCCATAGCCACAGAGTTGGGCTCCTTCCTTCACTGGACCCTAGGGAG